AGTAATTTGATCTTTTCCATTAATTCTGTATTAATTTCTCCACCTCTGCACATTGGACAGGAGAATGCTGCTCACTGGTGTCTACTTGTATTGAGTTAAGAAAGCCGTTTTTTGACCCAAGGAGAAATCTGACAGACATTTTAGAATTTCAGAAGGATTTTTCCCAATTATAACAAAATTGAAAATTTCTTGAAATATTTTTTTTTGTTTTCTTCTTTTTGATTAATAGCGTTAATGCAGATATATAAAAGACTATATTGAGTAATTTTTCAAACTATATTACCATATGGCCACGTGAGTAGGAGTATATTCGTATATGGGCATGGTAAGTGAAGCAGGGCCACTAATTCTCTAAGACAAACTTTTTCACATCCAACAAATGTTATAATTTTGCATCTGCAATGCACCATGCAAATTACCATCCATGAATGTTAATTTATGAATTAATTTAAAACTCATTAGACTAATCATAATTAGCTAATGTTCTCTATTGCTTATGTACTACTTGAATCACTCTTAATATATAATGTCTTGTGCTAAGGAGTAATGAAAAGTGACTTTTTTATTCCATGATTAAAAACACCTAAGTATTCTTGAAACTGGAATGATGGAATTTATTCTTCAATATTCTTGTTTAGAAAGTGACTTTTGTATCTATAATGGATGCCAATGTCAGTTGCCATAAGATGAGAATAGTCAGGGAATTGGTTAATAACTTTGTTGTTGCAGGGGCCTGCGGTTTCCCAAATTTCATGATTTGACTAACATTCCTTTGTATATATTTTATTTTTCTCAAATAATCCAACCATTTTAAAGGTGACCATTCAGAAATAGTACATTGTACAATAGTACATTGTAATACTTACAATGAACTCATCTTCTTGTTGAGGTTGGAAAATCTGTTCTTGACCATCTTTTCCAAGAGTTATGGGTCCATTTGTTCCTCTACTTCCATATAACCAGAAAGAGACTTTAGCTCCAGTTCCAACACTGCCTGTAAGAATTGACACCTTCCATTTGTTTGAGAAGGGTAATGAATCCTGAGAACTTCCTTGTCTGACCATCTCTGCTGTAAAAGAACAATCATCATTACATATTAATGCATAGGAAGACATGCGATGATAACGTTTTCATATATCTTTTAACAGCATATTAACGGCCCAAAAAGCGACTGATAATCTGTGTCGGCTCTGGAAAAATATTGGTCGATCTCTAGCCACCATGCACATTATAATATATATTATACATATATAGATAAACATTGTTTTTTAAAGGTCAGAATAGGCTTTCTTTTCATGTATTATATGCACATCTAAAACAACAAGTGTGAATAAAATGTTTAAAAAAAATGCTATTTTTTTCACATTTTTTCTTGTAATACTTTTTACACATTCAATGCAACTAAAGAATAAGAACTAAATATAGACTCAAGTTTCAGTCCTGATTGTTAAATAATTTGTCTAGGATCTAAATGCATTTTTGGTAGTTAACACTAACCCTACACCACTCTCACCAATGCTATACTAAAACCAGCTTTAATACTCTAAAAAAGGTGTGCACCCATTTTTTTTACTATATGTGGGTTAAAATCCACACTATAACTTGAAGTACTACACCCAGAGGTTTTCCTGTCTTTTTTCTCCTTCACATATACCATTGAGAGGAAAAGGAACCAACAATACAAGACGGGTGTAGTTTCCTACCTTAACCCCTTAAGGACCAAACTTCTGGAATAAAGGGAATCATGACATGTCACACATGTCATGTGTCCTTAAGGGGTTAAAGGCACAGAAGCTGTTGTGTTTAGAGCCTAAATCCATATAAAAGGCTCTAAAAAATGTGAGTTTATTTTCACTCACTGCACTAAAAGACACTATACGTATATCATACAATATTGCACTCTCTCTTGTGTTTTCCATTTTTTATGTACAACCCCCGAACACTTTGAGAGGTAAGTGTATACGTGTTTTTTATGTATTCTTACCTTTAATAAATCACTAATATAGCGCTGCACTCTAACTAAGTTTTTGGAAGGTGGAAAACCTGGTGAAAACTAGCTTTGAGCCTAATGATAAGTGTATACCTCCCGGAACCTTACACCTAACCTTAATGCTACAATATCCTTAACCCTAAACAACAGTTCTGTGCTAACTAATGTCAGTTCTGTGCCTATGTCCAGAAATTGTATAAATGATTGCCCCATTACTGGAAAATATTATCAGGGTGCTCCTCATGTCATAACCACTACATGGGAAGTAATGAAATATGTTATTAGACTCCCAGAGCTATTTAAAGAGGAAATGTATTGTATTTACCTTTATGCATCTTTATAAAGACTCGAGATGCGTTGTGCTCGTGCTTATGTGGATGGCTTTAAGCATACATGTAAGATTTTACTTTATTTATAGTAAAATTGGTATACCTGCTTTTAACCTCCTCCTGTTTGTGTCCCATCATATGACTCACATTGAGATATTGAAACATTCAGAAGATGCATGTTGATGGGGATACTTATTACCTCTACACATTGATGCTTGAACTGCATATTGCTACTCACTGCTATCAAATAGAGACGATATTGCTGGCTCCATAACGTGTGAGTTTAACCAGTATGTGTGTTTATACAAAAAATCTGAAAACATAGTACGATATGAGAAGTTTTCTCCTTTGTTGATCCTAGATCGCAAGTTGTTCACTGAAGTACCCATCAAAAAGGGTAACATTCATTTTCTATTTTTTTATCTGTAAATTGCATTTAATTGTATTGTTTTAATTTATGTTTTTGTGATTTTTCAGTGATTGCTACATGGGTGATATCACTTCACCACCACTTTTCTCAGTGCCAAACCTCTATTCATTTATTTTTGTTGAATTATTTACATTCTTCCCTTTTTTTCTACAATTTTGGAATAGAATATCCACCTTTGACCAAGTAAAGTAGTGTACATCCCATACATAGCTTTATACATTTTATTAATTGGCATACAAAAATGTAAATAATGTAGATTGCTTAATTCACCAGACTAAATTCATAATAGAATACTTTTTCAGGGAACATATTTTTTTTCTGTAGGAATGCATTTTTTAAATAGAAGAATTAAGCGTAGTCTAATATTTTTTTCTGGTGATATTTTAATATCAGAATAGAAATAAAATGTCACTGCTTTCAACTAGATATGATTAATCAAGGTACTTCATCATTAGTCACATACAGAATAAACTTTTACAATAAACAGAGGACTAAACTCGTGTCAAACGGTGCATTAGGTAACGTCCTGCACAATCAGACTTGCTTCCTCTTCTGATAAAGAACTTGTGGACATGAAGCAGATCTGTGCTGTAACTATACAACTCACTTTTGGTCAAGGGTGGAGATACTGATGGGCTCCGCGCCACTGTCTGCTGGGTTTGCACAATTTCTCCATAATGCTTGTTGAATTCTGCCTTGTCTTCATTGGGTGTGGCCTTTGATTCTGTAGGTTTTTCTTTGCCAACTAGCACAAAAAGTTAAAAACAAAATAAATGGTGTCTTTGTTGAATTAATTAACCCGTTCACTACTAAGTTCTTTCTGCTTGTTTTTAACAAATAAAATTAGGGTCAAACTGTATTTTGTATACAGATGGATTCTTAGAATTACCTATAAAAATATAAATTTATGTAAATTTACACTCTTTTTATTCATCATTTATTTGCTCACTTTTTACAAAACATATTGGGGGATTTAATGTGTTAAATATATGGAACGAGATTTTACACACATTCCCTTGCATTATTTCAGACATTTGCGTAGAAGCAGAGAAACAGTTTGTCATATAAAGTAATGACAAAAAAAAAAAAAAAATAAAATCCCTGCTTATATGTAAATGCAAGGAATCTAAAAACTATTTTTGGGAATGCAGATTTCTAAAAAAAATGCCAGCAGAACGTAAGATAATGTCAGTTTGTAGAAATAATGCCTATGTACAATTTTATTACGTATAGATACAATGCAAAACATAACATGCTATCACTGGCGGATCCAGGGGGGGGGCAACGGGGCAATTGCCCCCCCCGAGAAATCCGCCGGTCTCCCTCTCCCTCCCCTGTCAGCACATGCAGGTGCTAGCCCTGCGATGTGCCTGCGGACCGGAGGGGAGGTCAGAGATCTCCCTCCCCGGTCCGCAGACACTGTGCTGACAGCCGGCGAGGGAGTGAGAGGGAGGACCCGGAGCTCAGGCTGCAGCTCCTCCGGGTCCTCCTCTCGTGAGATTTGGAGCGTTGCCGCGGTTACCACGGCAACGCTCCAAATCTCGCGAGAGTGAACTCTAGCCCGGGAGCGCGTGCTAGAGTTCACTCTCCACACTGGACCACCAATGAATCCCTACTGGGACCACCAGGGATAGAAATATGTCCCCCCTCCTCCCCAGTAAAGGTAAGAAGGGAGGGGGGACATAGGATATATATTTTTTAAAAATTAAATATTTAAAAATATATATTATAAAAAAAAGCCCCCCTCCCCTTAACACACACACATATACATTGCCCCCATGCTTCCCCCCATACACACATACTGCCCCATGCTGCCCCCCATACACACATGCTGCCCCCCATACACACATACTGCCCCATGCTGCCCCCCATACACACATGCTAGATTTTACTTACGTATAGATGTACAATGCAAAACATAACATTGCTATTGCAGTATGCAAAGAATCCCACATCAGTATATTATATGACTGTGTCCTCACGTTCTCCGTCCCTAACCATCCCACACACATGTAGTATTTACTGCTAAACTTTTATGCTGATAAGGGACACAGGCATGCTGCCCCCAATAACACATAATTCCTACCCCCTGTTTCATTACACATGCACAAATGCTCCTCATCTGTCGCACATATATACCAAACTGACTCACATTAATTACAAATTAGTGACCCCATACACACATGACTGCCCGGCCATACACACACACTATGAGTTTTACACTGACATCACACACTGCACAACCTGTGGATCACTGTTGCAGCATTGCATTCCCATTAGACTGAAGTCCAATATAGATTCCATTATACTTTATAGATTCCAGAGTCACTGATCCGCTTTCTAACTGTTTGTCGACTTTGAAACTGCAGTAGTCATCACCTGAACCCTGTAACAAAAACACCATTTAGACAAATCCATGAGCATTGTGCTCTATAAATCTGCATAAACCCATGTAGTTCACATTTATTGATAAAACCCATTGAAATAACTGAAGAGAGAATGTTGATATAGACATATTAATTGACATACTTTGTTTTGTGTGTATGTGTTTGTTTTATTTGTTGCTAACTAAGCAATTCACAGATTTAGCTAATTAGATTAAAACCCTTTCAAAGACTGTGAAGAGAATTCTATGTTTCAGGTTAAAAGGACAGAACGTATGTAATCGGCGCTGAATTTAGGGCTTCATGTGCCTTGAGCTGGATATTTTGATGGACCGAATGAGAGAACACAAATTTCCATTTCCATTGTCAAAATCACTTATTAACTATTTGTGACATATATTTAGAGTTTGTCTTATTTGATAATACATTCATTCATTAAATGAGAAATATGCTTACTGGAATAAAGATCCCTTTATATTGATAATATTGCGTATTATATATACCAAGTCATGGATACACTGTGTGTGTGTGTGTATATACCCACAAAATGTATCCATTACTGTGTCTTTTTGAAGCAATTACCACCAGGTGTCAATGCTTATTAATTGTCTGTATAGTAGGGAGTTCACACACAAAAGACAGGCAGTGCAGTTGTAAGATTAAATAGACAGTAACCACTTTTAAGCTATTCTATGGTGTCATGAGCTCCCAGTCCCTGCCTCTTTCCACATGGTAGATTATAACTGCAGTGACTTGCAAAAATGGTGACAGGGCACTCTAGGTCACATCTGTGTGGGGTCAGTAATTTCTAAGTGTTCCTATTCTGTGGTGTACCACACAAAGCTGAAGTGGGTTCACAAATGTTATTGACTACTAGGCAAATAAGGAAGTGGATCTGTCATAATCAGGCATCTGTAAAATTTGTAAAAACCACTAAAGGTGACATCTCCGATTAGGGTCCAGTGGCCGTGGAATACTGTCATAGATAGGTTTATTTACCTTTAGCTGTCCCTCGCTTCTGCTGCCATCTTCAACCTATGGGGCTTCCTGTGCCAGGTATCACATCAGTGCTGTACTTTCACACATGTACAAGAGTAGAACACTGAGGGCTATGGAGGATCCAGTGAGATCGCGGATGTCTCCATACATCATGTCTCGCAATGAGTGAGACAATGCCTCAATCCATCAGCCATCACTTGTGACGGCTGCTGGGACTGGACAAAAGATGACGGTGGAGCTCATCCTTTAGTCAACCTTAGTCTTGTTCATAAGATAAAGTAGTCCCAAAAGAATTCTGACAAATCCCAATACAGGCAGTACTCAGTGGTGTATTTTGGATCTGTGCTGCCCTAGGCATGTCGGAACTCGGCACCCCCTAATTTACATTTGCCCCACCCCTTCCTGCTAAAGACTAATACACACACTTTGAGTGGCAGACACACACTCTCAGATACACTGACATAAACACACACATTTGGCACAACCTGACAGACACACACAATCACTGACTCACTCACAGACACACATAATCACTGACATACACACACAATAATGCAGACACACACACTCACTCACTGACACACACACACCCACTCCCAGACACACACACTGACAGGCATACACAATCACTCAGACACACACACATTCACTGACAGACACACTCGCTCACTCAAAGACACATACTGACAGACACACACAATCACTCAGACACACAGGCTGCTTCACAGACACACACTAACAAACACACTTACAGACACACACACACACACACACAGGTGCCCTCACAGACACACACTGACAGACATACTCACTCTCACGCACAGACACAAACACTCACTCACAGACACACACAATCACTCAGACACACACTGACAGACATACACTCACTCACAGACACACACTAACAGACATACAGACACACTGACAGATATACAGACACACTGACAGTTATACAGACACACTGACAGACATACACACACATTTACGGCCAGACACAGACACACACACACACACTGACAGCCAGACACAGACACACATTTCCCCCCCAACATTCACAGATTATTTTTTAAATTATAATTTAAATCCACCCAGCCTCCCTACCTTTGGGAGAGCTGGGTGGATTTTTTACCTGGTGTCCAGTGGGGCTGCTGGCGGGGCTGTTTGGGCAGAGAGGGAGGAAGGCGTGCAGGCAGTTGGGCGGCTAGCTGAATTCCAGCGGCGAGGGAGCGCTGATTTCTGATTTCATTTTCCGGCTCCCGGCATCACTCTGCGGCACACAAGGGAGCTGAGCAGAGAGCTCACAAATCAGCGCTCCCTCGCCGCCCGCCTTGGAACTCAGCTAGCCGTCTGGTTAACAAGGTATTTGCCTACGCATTTGGGGGCAGCAAATACATCACTGACAGTACTACTGCTTCATAAAGATTACAGCTTTATGAAATACTGAACAGTGACAGAGCCGCTTTAAGAGCCTCACATTTGGATATATTAATTTTGCATCTAAACAACCTAGTGAATACGTTTTGTACAGTTTTAAAAGTAAAGTAATCAGAAATGACACAATTAGTCATATATTTTCAGACAAATAAGTTGGATTAGTAATGTGTTACTAATGTGTTACTGATAGACAAAACAAATAAAAGTGGTGAAAGCTGACACTCCTGATATGTTCTAGTTTTTTTTAATCAAAAGTTGCGATGGTGATGCACTCATTGTGCTTTTGCCTTTTGCCATACAGAGCCACATTCATCTACCTGTCTTAGCATACTGGGAGAAGTTCTATTCCTGGTCATGCACCTTCAGAAACATTAATTTAGCAGAGTCAAAGGAGCATGTCTGTTATTGTTGATGTTCTGTTTTTAGCTTAATATGGCCCCAAAAGGTGGGGGAGGGGACACCCTCTGTAGATATGGTTGTAGTTAAAGTCAAACATATTTACCTAATGGCCCAAGTATGACATATCATAAAGACTTTTTTATAAGGCATAGCGGTGTTTCTGAAATTAGCACGTATGTTTGTGTTCCTTAAAGCATTCGTTACATATTCTTTATTCTGTGATCCTCCAGTTATTTAACCTTAAGTGATGAATAGATAATACATTTGTACTCACGTTTCCATCACATTTGCCATTTTTTATTTGAATGTAGTTATGAGGGTTTGTTACACTTTCAAACATATAGACAGCAGAGTTCATTTTTTGCACTTTCCAGTATGACTCTGTATTGTGATTCCCAGCTCCACTGCAGAGTCCATCCAATCTTCTACACAGAGCCTGAGCCCAGCTGGTGGTTAGCAAAATAATAGAGCCATCTTGAAAAATACCCTGAAAATGAAAGTTGCAGTCATTAACACATTTATCTAAACAAATATGTCACCCGTTATTTTAATTTGCTCCTATAATTAACAAAATAAAGACTAAAGTGTGAGCTGTTAGATAGGACACAGGCCAGTTACACTGACCAGTTTGTGTTTCTCTGCTGTCAAAATCCAAGACACAGATCTTCTTGATTGGTATTAATAATTTCCCTTACTCTGCTAAGAGAATCTAGCCATATGTTTCTATACGTGAGCCCTTCATTAATATTAATAAAGATTTTAGTGGCATTTTTCAATATGCAGATTCCTCTATTGCCAGCATAATGTAAATGCAAACAATGTATATATAAAGAGATATTGGGCCCTGCAGAAAAACTATTATTTGTTCAACATACGTAAATAGTTAAAACTTTGACCCATATCCTCAATACAATAAATGTAGAGACGGGCTAATCTTTAACTCACCTTTACATGGACAACAAATTCTTTAGTAATCCCAGCATAACCATCAGTGCTGCCATCATTAGCTCTACCCTCCCTGTCAAAGGATATGGTGAGACCCGGCACTCTTGTAGATTCCAATGTAACATTCCGGTTTAGTTGAGGATGGACAAACAGTTCACATAGAATCCCACTATTATCCTAGATTGAAATATATATATAACAATAATGAAATATCTAGATTGGACAATTGTAATACAGAGTGTGCTCAGTGACATATAGAGCTTTAGGGTAATAGAATAAAAAAAATTAAATAATGATATGGTAATGTAAGTTTGTAGCTGTCTTAATTATTTATTTATTTATGTTTGCAATTCTTTATTTTCAGAAAATTGCTCACATATCTTCACAAAAACACATTGTTTCATTTGTTTAATAGTAATGTTTAATAATCTCCCAATCCCCTGCCCTTTTACATCATAATACGGAATATATATATATCCAAAAGAACAAGCGGGAGGGGAATGGGGTAGGGGATTCTAAACCCCATGATCCCTCAGGGCACCGGGCCCTCCTCCCAGGACTGCAAAACCTTACGAAAGGTTTTTATGTCTTACTGGGCCATTCGTTTGTTCATTAGGGGAGTATGTTTGACTTTAAATACAACCATATCTACAGTGGGTGTCCCCTCTCCCCTACAATTTTGGATGAGGGCCCTAGCTGCTAGGATTAGCTAATTGAATACTTTCAGATTGCATGAGGCTATTCCCTCTATCAGTTTGTAATGTAGGAAGTACCAGTGTTTCAAAATGACTGGTAGATAAAGGACACTAGCAAGCAAATCATGAACACTTTCCCAGAAGCAGATCACCCTGAGGCATGTCCAGCACCCCATCCAGCATAGATCAGTAACTTCACTGGTTTGGGGTACCACCTAAACATAGCTTTGTTAGCCTGCTCCTGTAAAGTAACACATATAGAGACCTTGGAGGCAGCCTTCCAAATCTGTTCCCAGTCCCCTCCCTCCATCATTTGTTGCATATCTTCCTCCCATTGCTCAGTGTATCTCGAATTTTCCCCATGTGGCCAAACATTCTCGAATTTCATTTGAATAGGATGGAAATTAAAGGACCACTCAAAGAAAAGCCTCTGTTTCTATGCTATTTCAGCATCTCTCCTCCCCCAAGTTCCTCCATGTGTCTCAGACCCTCCCCTCCATGTGTCTCTGGCTCCCCTCCTCTCCCCTCCATTTGTAACAGTCCTCCCTCTCTTCTCCACGTGTCTCAGACCCCTCTTCTCGTGTTCATGTCTGTCAGTCCCCCCTCCTCTCCATGTGTCAGACCCCCCTCCATGTGTCTCAGACCCCCTGCGCTCCCATCCATGTGTCACAGTCTTCCCTCTCTTCCATGTGTCTCAGTCTCCCCTCCATGTGTCTCAGTCTCCCCTCCTCTCCCCTCCATGTGTCTCAGTCCCCCCTCCTCTTCCCTCCATGTGTCACAGTCCCATCCTCCTCTCCATGTTTTAGACTCCTCTTCTCCCATCCATGTGTGTCAGTCCCCCCTCCTATCCCTTCAATCTGTGTCTAAGTCACATGGTCTGAGATACATGGAGGGGTGGGAGGCATAGACTACAAGAACTGACCAGCAGGAGGGGAGCTCTTCCATTAGCTCAGTGGAGCCAATTGAAGTAGAAAATGCATCTCCCATGCTTTTATGATTGACAGCTGGTGAAGGCGTTCCTATTTTGAATTTTAAAAGTGCTAAATTCCCAATGAAATTGGCACATTTATAAATGAGGATTTTAAAGGGATACTCCAAAGCCATATAGCACCATTCCTTTCTGAGCAACAGATTTCTTTTGTGGAACCAAGCAATATTTCCAATATCTCAAGCATGACTGACCTTTTATTTTTTATTTCTACCATGCCAGCTTGACGTGTGTGTGTGTGTGTGTGTGTGTGTGTGTTTATAAAGATAGAGAGAGAGGGAGAAAGACAGATAATATCTTACATTTCAACAGACAGGCTTGCTAAAATAGAACATTGTGTTGGAACATTATAGATTGTATTGGTAATTTAATATATGTATCATACCATTGCAGTAACTATTCCTTTGTCAATTGCCAAGGCAACACTTGAGATTTGATGACTTTTAAATACTCTAACATTTCCTCGTTTTACCATCACATCAAAGAATCCTTAAAAGAAATTGTAAAAAATTGTTTGGTTTATTAAGCATAAAATGCAACAAAGTATATAGACCAAACGCTCTGTTTAATAGCCAACACAATGTGTTTGTGCAGAAAATTAAACAGCTCTTCAACTCTACAACCCACCCATCCCTCCCCACCGCCCCAAAATAAAAATAAAATGTAGCATTTCACAAATATGTTCGTAAAAACTGTTTTGCACTGAAATCATTATCACTGAAAATCAAAAGATATCAGAAGATAAAGTAGGTAATGTAGGGACCATTTTGTCTTATGTATGTTTCAAGCGCTTTTGCAAAGTTTGACAAAAAGACAGTAAGAAAAACCCATAAAATAAATCTTATATACAGTTTGCCAAGTAGACTCAATCATTTTTCATGAATGAACCTATTCTTGGCTTAACATGTACACTGCAGCTATACAGGATTTTGTAGTATGCGTTCAGTCTCTGTCTGCATGCGTTGTTACATAAAGTAGTTAAGTCAGAGTTAGATTTGCATTTTGCTCCCATGCATAATGCCTTTTAAGATGTCTTTATTAGAATTAGAAATGTAGTTTAGGATTAGTTCAGTTCTGCACCGCTGTAAAGGGATTTAGCAATAAAAGTAGATCAAGTATATTGCATACTTCATATAACACATGTTCTGATTAGTACTATGAAGACAGGAATATTTGTACCCAACTGTTTACATTCTGTCTCCCTGAAGAACCATAAAACATAGTATCCACTAATAGACTAGCATGACTACCACCCGTACCAGAAAATGTAGAGCCATGGTCACCATATAAATATCATTTTGGGTTACCCAGGATTTTGTGTGATTCTGTACAATAAGTTCCAACGATTCTAGCAGACTGGAATAAAAGTAATATTTGACTATATTTAGGGATGCTAGAGAGGACCAGGGGGGCTCGGTGGTGGTTTTAACACTCTAGGTTTGGAAATACATGCTTGTGTTCCTGACCCTATCGTGTTCCTTTAATATATATCTAAATGGTCAATGCTAAAACTAGATCACTGAAATTCAATTAAACAAATACCATTCAGGGAGAACTAATGTAGTAGAAGCGCCTTATAGACAACTAACCATGTATGCACTGTACAAGGATAAAAAGATAGAAAGACCAGTAAATAAATACATTATTACCCTTAACCTAAGAATAAAACATCACATTCACACTTACAGTAAACAGCTTGACGCCAAGACGTGCCACCTGCTGTCATTGGTTTTAAAGTATAGGTAACTTATATATATGTAAAACTGTTAGATTAGAAGAGTTGGCAGCAACTACTAAGATGCGAAAGGTGCATTTTATGTACCATAATGTTACACTATTATAAAGCACTTCATGCTAACGTGAGTCACGGTGACCTGCCATCTAAAGTTCGAATTTACCATATTTATCCTTCTTTTCTCCAAGAGCATCCACTTTGCTGTCTGGAGTGAGTCGAATAAATTTCCTTGTTGCTTTGCAGTAGAACTGTAAAATGTTGCCCTTCTGATACTTCCATTTTTCAGCGTTCCACTGATTAAAGAATACAGAAATAAACAATTACTTCTAAGCAATCGATTTGTAGAGTTCTCTTAGCACCACAATGCAACACAGAAAGACGAACATAACTCCTTACAATATGCTTCCTCTTCAGTTCAAGCTCTTGCCCTGTTGAATTAAGAGCATTTTATCAATAAACACCATTATTCCGTAACAAGCACAGTTAATAAGAAATGTTTAGTGTTTATATGCTTACTGGCTGGAAAATCAACTTCATCTGCCGTGAATAGATGCCTTGCAATTTTGCCATCATCTTCACCTTTGTCTAACCATCTTCAGTGATTAATACCAAGCAAAAGAAAATAATATATATTGAATTAAGAAAGCATATGGATGTAAACATACCAACATAGCTAATTCTATCTACGCTGCATTCTTTTACAAGTAAAATGAAAGAAATATATAACTACGGTTCGGGAAGGATAATATGGTTCAAATTGTCAGTTTTTTTTCTTTATACTTTCTGTATTAAAATATGGAGACTAAACTACTATTAAAAAGGCTGGTATAAAAATATAAGCACATTCATCTGCCCTTTGAACCCAGAGAACAAACATTTTGCCGGTATTTTTACAAACTACTCTTATTATTTATAAAGTGTCAACATTTCCTGCAGTGCTGTAAAATGGGTAAACGTAACATTCACGCAATTGTAATAAAGGAAATATGAGATCCGAGAACAGGAGGTGATGAGAAAGCAATAAAGGTAGAACCTTGATTGGAAAATTGTTAGCCATTGAAAGCCTGTTTCACCCAGGCAACATCTTGAAACAGAATATAGGGCTTAATTTTGTATTTTTTGGATAAGCTTTTCAAATGATTTAATATATGTTTAATAAACTTTTAATTGATTTAATAATATATATATATAATGGAAAATTTATTCATACTTACCGTAATTTTCTTTTCCTGGTCATATGCCATGGCAGCACAACATTGGGTAGCTCCTCCCTATCCCCATTGGACAGGAATAATTATTAAGCCGTATAAGTACCACCTCCTACCCCTCCTTCCCCAGTCATGTTTTCCAGCAATAGCCCCGGGTGGGACCCTTGTGCTGCCATGGCATATGACCAGGAAAAGAAAATTACGGTAAGTATGAATAAATTTTCCATTTTCCTGGCCATATCCATGGCAGCACAACATTGGGTAATACCCAAGCAATAAACCAGGGAGGGAAAGAGACACAGACTCCAAAATTTTGAATGCAAAGTGTATTAACACCACAACAGGTGAAAAAATAGAAATCAGGTATCGGATACAGACAGAACTGATTTAGCAAATTGATCAGATATACCTGCTCTAACATCAATTTGGTAGCTCTTAATGAAAGTGTTAGAGGAAGACCATGTAGCTGCTTTACAAATGAGTTCAGGAGAAACATTAGCAGCAGCTGCCCAGGAAGATGAGAGAGCCCTCGTGGAATGGGCTTTAAGACCCACAGGGACCGGATATCCAGCAGATTGATAAGCCAGAATAATAGCTGCTACTATCCACCTGCTAATGGTAGATTTGGGAGCTTGTGAGCCCTTTTTACAGCCGCCATGAAGGACGAAAAGACTGTGAGAAGTACGCCAAGCAGAAGTCCTATTAATATATATCTGGAGGCATCTTACTAGATCCAGAGAAGATAGGTTAGTAGCATTCTCCATTTCTAGGGAGTCAGACCTCAGAGATGGAAGAACAATATCCTCGTTGATGTGAAAGGAGGAGGTGACTTTAGGTCGAAATTCGGGAACCGTACGGAGGACAACTCTGTCTTTGTGAAAGACCGTAAAAGGCTCCTTAATGGATAGAGCGTGGAGCTCAGAAACCCTCCTGCCGGAAGCTAGGGCAATCAGCAAAGCAGTCTTAATAGAGAGAGCATGAAGAGGAACTGTCTCAAATGGTTCAAAAGGTTCCAACTTTAAGGCATTCAAGACCAAAGGGAGATTCCAAGATGGAACAAATGGTTTAATAGGAGGTTTTATCTGAAGGACTCCTTTGATGAATCTGATGACATCCGCGTCCAGTGCCCATCGATGATTGGTTAGAGCGGACAAGGCTGAGACGTGCACCTTGAGAGTGTTATAGCTCAGCCCTTTAGCAAGCCCAGACTGCAGAAACTCCAAAATATTAGAGGAGGAAGGATCTTGAATATTAATGTTCCTGTGAAGGGCCCAGTCAGAGAAAACTTCCCACACTCTATAATAAGTGGCCGAAGTGGAATGCTTACGTGCCTTCAGCATAGTGCCTATAACGTCCTGGGAGAATCCTTTACTCAAAAGCCGGTTCCTTTCAGTCTCCAAGCCATGAGATTGAGAGAGACCGGATTTGGATGAAACACAGGACCTTGGAACAGAAGATCCGGAGTTCTGGGGAGTGGGAGAGGAGGTTCCACCAAAAGACTTTGAAGCAGAGGAAACCAGGGTCTTCGAGGCCAATAAGGCGCAATCAGGATGAGAGACACCTGCTCTGTTCTCATCTTCCTCAGGAGCGGGAGAATTAGTGGAAATGGGGGAAAAGCATAGCCCATCCTGAACCTCCAGGGGCTTGATAAAGCATCCCTCCCCAGTGCTAGGTGGTCGTCTTCTTTCGTGAAGAAAAGCTCTACTTTCCTGTTGGCCCGAGTGGCTAGAAGGTCTACTTGAGGGAGACCCCATTTGTCCACAATCAAGTGGAATACTCTGTCCGAGAGGCACCATTCCCCCGGATCTATCCTGGATCTGCTGAGAAAATCCGCCAGATGATTCCGTTTCCCTGGTAGATGGATGGCAGTAAGGCCCGCCAGGTTTCTCTGAGTCCACCACATCAGGTGATTCATGATTTCCATCATCTTGCAGCTCCTGGTACCCCCTTGGTGATTGACATAGGATACCACAGTGGAGTTGTCCGTCCTTATCTTCACCCATTGCCCCTTGAGATGATTCGAGAAGTGTTTCAATGCTTTGAGGACAGCCAGAAGCTCTAGGCAATTGGAATGAACATTGTTTGCCCTGAAACTCCATTCTTCCTGCGCAAAGTCGTGGAGACAATGAGCGCCCCATCCCCATTGGCTGGCATCCGTTGTCACAGTTATCCACGCGATATCTCCTAGTGGAAAACCCTTTGATAGGTGCTCCCTGTTTAACCACCAGATTAGAGAATGGCGTACATTCAGGGAAAGTTTGATGGGTTGGTGCAGGTTCCCGGAGGAGAACTGTCTCAGGAAATTGGCTTGGAATGGTCTCATTCTCCACTGTGCCCATCTGGTCAGTCCTATTGTGGAGGACATGGAACCCAGGAGGCTCATTATGGCCTTTGCCGGGGCCACCCTGGATATCAGCATTCTTCTCAATAACATCTTGAGTTTCTGTATTCTTGCTGATGAAAGTTGGACAGTGCCCTTTAGAGTGTCGAAGTGAGCTCCTAAGTAAACCATAGATTGCGTTGGGTGGAGGTGGCTCTTCTTGGTGTTGATCTTCCAGCCGTGAGCTTGCAGAAACTGAATGCTGGTAATAGCATGGGATGTCAGAGAATCTACGTTGTTTCCTAAGATCAAGATGTCGTCCAAATAATGGTAAATCGCAATGTTCTGTTTTCGGAGTTCTGCAATGAGAACAATCAGGACCTTTGTAAATGTCCTCGGAGCTGTGCTCAGTCCAAAGGGGAGGGCCCTGAACTGGAAGTGACCTTCTTCCACAGCAAACCTCAGAAACTTTTGATGAGTTTGGGCGATGGGTATGTGAAAATACGCATCTAACAGATCTATGGACAGCATCCATTGGTTGGGAGACACTACTTTTATTATAGATTGTAAGGATTCCATTTTGAACCTGCGAATGTGCAGATGCTTGTTTAGCCTGTGTAGATCCAGAATGGGTCTCCATCCCCCTGAGGATTTCTTCGTTAGGAAGATGTGGGAGTAAAACCCTTGAGTTCTCTCGCCGGCTGGCACTTTGGTGATAACCTTCTCCTTCTGCAAGGAAAGGATGAAGTCTTGTAGGGCCATGCACTTTTCCTTGTCCCCTGGCCACTTTGTGAGGTGAAAGGACCTGCTTGGAGGATGCTCGAGAAATTCTATCAAGTAACCTCTCTGAATGATATCCAGTACCCAACTGTCGCTTGTGGATGCTTCCCATATCGGTAGATATTGGAGAAGACAAGCCCCGACACCTTCGGATTTGGGAATTATATAGTCATAGATTCCTCTAGTTTTTATAGGAAGATGAACCGCGTGACTTGCCTCCTTTGTTTCCAGCTGGGGCTCCTCTCCCAGGTTGAAATCTGGAATATTCTCTGCCCGGCTTGTAGGACCTACTGTCACGAAAGGAATGATACTCTTTCCGGGCACGAAAGGATCCTTTATACTTTCTCTCCTGAGGTAAAAAGGCTTTATTCCCTTCAGCCGCCCTCTTAATGCATTCGTCCAAATTCTTGCCGAATAACATACTCCCGTGAAATGGCAAAGAACACAAACTATTCTTGGAGGAAGCATCGGCTGCCCAAGATCTGAGCCAAAGAGCTCGCCTAGAGGAAATCGAGAAGGACATATTTCTAGCAAGGCTCCTTACCAGATCCACTGCAGCTTCTGATGAAAAATCAATTGCTAGACGCATATCTCTTAGGTCCTCCACAATGGAAGAACGGCTTCTGCCACTCCTGATGTCCCCTTCCAGTTCCTGTATCCAAACCTTCATAGCTCTTGTAACTGACGTGAGAGCAACGGCAGGGTGGAGACTCGTGCCTGAGGCTACATAGGATTTGGAAAGGTAGTATTCCATCTTACGATCCATAGGATCCCTGAAGGAACCTGCATCGTCTACAGGAAGGGTAGTGTGCTTGGCTAGTCTGACCACTGCAGCATCAACTTTAGGTGGAAAATCCCATGTTTCAGCATCTTTGGAATGAAACGGATATAATCTGGAGAACTTCCCTTTTGCAGATGATCTCCGGTCAGACCTGGACCATTCTTCTTTAATAAGGTCACTAATTGTGGCATGCACAGGGAAAGCCGCTCTTTTTCTTCTAAGATCAGAGAAATAGCGGTTAGATGTAGATGGTTCCTCCTCTGAGGGTTCTTTCAAGGTAAGGGTTTCTCTGACCCGGGCAATTAAATGATCCACCTCCGCAGGTACCAGGAAGTCAGGATCAGGGATAGCATCCTCCTCCGAGGAAAAAGCTAGGTCTCTCAGAGAAGCTGAATCCATTAACTCTTCTTCAGAGTTTCCTGGAGATAAATCTGAGGGCTCAGAATATCTAGGTCGCTTGTGGGTCTTACCACCCTCTCTTATGCCCTGGGCAACTGCATGCTTGATAAGCTGCATAAAGTCCGGTGTTGAATGAGAAGGGCCAGCAGCTGCTGAGAGACAATCTGAACAGAGACGTTTCCCTTCTATGGCTCTGTTATCACAGGATATACACAGCGTCCTTTTGGGCGACTTCCCCTTGGACGATCCTGAAGTCTTTGTACTTTTAGCACTGAAATACAACAAACGTGCTCATTAGTACATTACCTCTCTTTTTTTTTTTTTTTTAAAAAGGATGGCTTACCTATATTGCTTAGATTGTGACCTATTGTGATGAGAAGAATCCGATTCCCTGGATCCTGAGCGAGAATCCATCTATAAGGAATAGATGGAACAGCGAAACTAATACCAAGAAGAAATATATATAAAAAATAAAATAGGAGAAAAACTTACTTCGATGCTTGAGAAGGAAAAAGGAACCTGGAAAGGCGAAGAACCAACAGAATGGTGCAGAAAAAACTTTCCTGGAGGAAGAAACTCAACCTACCCCGAAAAAAGAGGTCTGGCGCTTTAAGAAGGGTATCTGACGTCATCGCGCATGCGCGAATTAGCGAGAAAACGCGCGAACGGCCCAAATGAATGGATTTTGCGCGCGAACGTGCTAATTCGTAAATCGCGTTCGCGCGCTTATTCAAACAAAGCCGCGCGAACGCTCAGAAACAACCGAACGCCGCGCATGCGTCCGGGAGCCCACGAACGCCGTGCAGGCGCCCGTGAGACTCCCGAACGCCGCGCAGGCGCACAGAAATTTCCCGAACGCCACGCAGGCGCCCTGGAACTCCTGAACGCCGCGCAGGCGCACAGGAGCTCCCGAACGCCGTGCAGGCACTGCAGCTTCTGAGGGGGAACCCCAGCACAGAGAGATTACAGTTTCAATTACCTCTGTATCTTCAGAAGAATAATCTTACAGGTAGGAACCAATTCATGGAGTCATTACCTTGATTCTGGGGGGAGAAAATCCAAGTCCGGAAACCAGCCATAATTCCATGTTATTCCACTTGCATTATTGCAAGAATTACAGGAAGGTAAAACCCCCGGTCACTAAAGGGGTTTTCTCCAGGGGGACACCTTTGCGCAGGGCCGTATACTGGAGACTTCCCAGGGGAGAGAGGGTGAACTCCCCAGGGGCTAGAGGAACTAATCCTCAGGTAAGCCATAAAGAAAATCTAATAGTCTGAAAAGACCGACATGTCCTAGGGATAGGACAGGAAAAAAAGACTGGGGAAGGAAGGGTAGGAGGTGGTACTTATACGGCTTAATAATTATTCCTGTCCAATGGGGATAGGGAGGAGCTACCCAATGTTGTGCTGCCATGGATATGGCCAGGAAATATATATATATACATATTGTATATTGCGTATTTTTTTATATATATGCTATATCTTAATATTAAAAAAAAACAAAAAACATTTTTTACGGCTTATCCAAAAATATTAAATCAATTCCATAGTTAGGACTATAAGCAGAAATTCTCGACTACCTGAAGCCTGTTTAAGCTTTGTAAAGGTAATATAAGTACTGGTCATAAATCACATGAACTGTGCCTGCCGCAGTAGACTTTTATGCAGAGTATGATGGCTTTTTGCACCACTTTATTAGCAGTTTATATTGACAAATCTCTTGGACAGACATTTATTATTCTTTTCAAATATATTTTATTAAATATTATTCTCCACTGTAGGTACTTATCAGGTATTGATACTGGCTATGTCGCAGTTTTCAGCCACTGGCATTCCAGTTCTCCAAACTCTGGCTCGCCAGATGTTGCGGAACTACAACTACCATGAGTCTCTGGGTATCAATTTCATGCAATAAAGTATGAAAGTTGTAGTACAGCAACATCTTGAGGACCAGAGTTTGGAGAACCCTTCTGTAGACTACTGAGGGCCCAACATTTCCATTGGCAACCTAGCAGCCCAATCAAGACATATGTGCTATTTCTATTTATAATGCATATATTGACAGGTATTAGTTAATGGAAGTGTATGCTATATTACTATTTTTTATTCAGTGTTGTTTGTGGCCATTTCCATATTTTGCAATCATGATTGTTAAAGTGGCGTGGACATATGACTTTTTAGCTTTCAATAAATATAGAATTATGTAGAAACATTATATTGATTGCACTGGAATATCAATGCCAACACTTTTTAAAATTTTCTTAAGACAAGGTTTTTGACAGAAGGAAAAGTTTTCGGCATCAACAGCGTCACTAGTGATGGTGGTTGGAAATGGACTTCTTTTTGCATTTTGTCTACAGAGCACATTACATGATCCTCAATAGACCTCTGTGTTGTATTCTCATACATGTTTGAAAAAGAAAATGGCAAAATATGAAAAGACCCTCAAATTAAGAGATGTAGTTTATAGCACACTGCTGTATGGATGATGCATATTTTAAAATGTAACCATTTTATTAAGAATTAAACCAGTGGGAAGGTTTAATAATATATATCTATATCTTGTCAGCCATATTTCATAGGCAAGCACTGTATAGCTCTAGAATGATGAAATGTTCATAAACAAATGAACAGTGGCTCACTTTATCTTAATGTGAGCTAAAATTCTAAAATGTGTCCACGCTGTTTATAGTAATTTCCATATTATTTGTTGCATTCTGGGAGTGTTATTTTGAAATGTGCCTTATGTTTATATTATACACCAACATGTTTGAAAATTCCCTTCATCTTTGCAATATTTTAATTTCACTTTTTAAAGTGGCACATGGATCTTTTATGTCAAGGAACTGAGCAAATTATGTTATATGCCAGATTATAAATCTTCCGATCTACAACTAATTTTCATATTATAAAACCCGAAGTGTGGAACACCATCCTTAGTAAAATTTCATTAGCCGCTTACTCAGTTGAAAAGAGTGTGGAAGATCTATTTGAAAAGCATTCTTTTAATGAAAAGTTTACAAGAAAATTGCTTTTATGGTGTACATTGCCTGACAATATCATAAATTTTGTAACCCCACTGCCATCTGTTAAACTACAACTCCCATTGTTAGAGAGCATTTTTACAGCAAAATGCAGGTTGGTGATCTTGGAAGATGAAGTTGAAAAACAACTGAAGACCTAGCTTTTTTTCTACCATGCTTTTCTAAATAAATACTGGTCTATTCAACATAAAATGCACATTATTAATCCCATTTTATTATGACAAACCTGTAACAGAAGAAGATGTATTCTCTATCTTTTACTGGATCAAGAACGATAACTTTCTCCAAGTACCAACCATTTCCTAAACATAGAAAAGTAAAAATTGTTAATTAATGTTAATTATAATTATCGCCTTTGAAACAAGATATGTATGTGCTGCTCACATATTTATTTAATTTTATTTATAAAATATGTTACCAAGATGGATACATAGAGATTTCTCTAGTTTTCAAGTATTTCCTCGGTCCACAAAACATTGCATTGTTCCAATAGGATACAATATTACAAAAATACAATATGCAAACTATATGAAAACTATAAAAAATATATATACACACACACATACACACATATATACATTTAACACATAACGGGTAATAAATATATTCAACCATGATAGGAGCATTCTGTGCTGGGGTATGTTGCCATAGATCTCTTAAAAGATTTTAGATTGAATGAAGATTTGACTGTGTTCCTGAGGTTATTCCATAATTGCGGTGCTCTGTAGGAAAAGGAGGATCGAGCCACTTTATTTTTGTATTGCGGTATGCTAAATATCGTGCTCGTACTGGATCTGAGTTTATAAGAGGTGGGAACAGCTGAAGAGAGCATTCTACTCAGGTAGGGTGGGAGCTTCCCAGAAATGCTCTTATGCACAAGACTGGAAAGATGAAGAGTGTACCGGGATTCCAGCAATAGCCAGTTTAGCTCTTTTAATATGTCACAGTGGTGGGTAAAGTAATTAGTACAAAGTGGCAGAATTAATTATATAGCGTATTAAGTTTATTAAGGTGGGTTTGCGATGCAGGTGCATACACAACATCCCCATTTATTATGCTTTCTTAAGCAACCAAGTCCTGCTGAATCTTCAGAGCAGAGACTGGGCCCCTTAAAACAGCATTAACACCCAGCACTCCCAAGCAACCAAGTCCTGCTGAATCTTCAGAGCAGAGGTATTATCTCTGGAAGTTCCCACTCTGACTCCCTCCTCCTCCTCCTCCTCCTTCCTCCCACGCGGGCTCTCAGTAAGCTGGGAGGAGTGACCGGGCAGTCACTTCCTCCCAGCTCTATGATGTAATCACAAGGGGGCCCGGTCAGGGCTGGGCACTTTAAGAACGCGACCGGGCCCCCTCACAATCCATAGCCATCAGGTGGCCCTGACAGCATGGGCCACCCGATGGACCCCTCCATGTGCGGCCCTGGTGGTTTGCAGTGTGGGCCGCGGCCGCAAAATGTGGCAGCAGGCCTGGTACCCGATCGCTGGGGTCCGCAGGGCAGCCGGGCCCCCTGGAGTGCCGGGCCCGGTTGCAGCTGCGACCCCTGTGACTGCGGTATGTACGCCGCTGGCTGCTGTACTCTAGCTCATGCGCGAAAGTACAGCATTTAGGTCTATGGTGGGTCCAGCAAGACCTTTGGATCCTCATTAAACAGAGCCATTTCCCTGCAGCTGTCATTGGTGATGATTGGGGGATTGACACTTCTAGATGGTGGTAGCTCTGCTGAGTGTCTAGAAGAGTCAGGCAGAGCAAATATACAGAGACAATGTAGTCCCTTATTTGTCTCAGTATATCTCTTGGGTTGGAATTTGAGTGAAATATCAACACAATCAATATGAGTATTTCATAAAGATTATATCTTTATAAAATACTTATTTTTCAAGGGGGCGACAGAGCAGCTTTAATGGCTACCATTTATAATAATAGGAAACAAAAATACTTTTGGCATCCACAATGTAGTTGTTAGTAAATGTTCAATTATAGAGCATGGAAGTTGCTGTTAAGTGGGGATAATTGCACCTCCCATTTCTTACTGATGATGGAAAATGATAGTGAGAAGCATGAAAACAATCCCAAAATTTGCTATTTAGTGATGTTTGACAAGGTTACTTTTTTTATAATATGAATTAGCGTAACTTTTATCTTAATAACTTACAAATGAAATGTGTTTTTTATTTGTTATGTTATTTTTAAACAGAAAATGCTTTATTTTTAGGTTTCCTATCACACTAAGAACCAAACATCATTGCCTTTTCTAATATGAGATTTATGTTTCGTTGTAAAATCAAGTTTTCAATGCTCCAAATTATATTTACATTCTTGTGAAAATAAATTGTATGGTTCGTGAGCTTAATTACATTTTATTTTACTATTAATTACCTGGTTCAAGTCCATCATGGCCTATGACAAGTGAATGTAAATCCCCAAGATGAACAGCTTCCAGCATGAAAATGTCAGTCTAGAAAACATAAATCAAACGATATCTCAATATTCTTATTGATTCCAAAACATTGGAATTGAAGGACATTAAATTAAGCAGACCACATTTTTTTGTGAGGTTTGAAGTACCGTATAAAAAGATACATTAAGGTTCATTATCATTCATTGTAAAAGATTTTGAGAAATATAACGTGTTCTAGCATCATTTTCAGGTTTAAAATACAAAGGTAACAGATTTTGCAAAAAATAATTTTGCAACTCTCCATCACACAAATTGTTATATACCGGTATATTTAGGCACAGCCTACACAGTGTATATTTATTTGATATTTATAGTCATTGGCATTGCCTACGTGTCATTAAAATCATTTTCTGAACGTTATTGGCTAGATATCCGCTAGCACTACGGGAAAAATCTGTGGAACCCATTTGGTTATGTTTTTTTTCCATATTTTACAAAATTAAAGTAAAACCTATGTCTCACTGAAAGAAAGAAAATCTGTTTCTAATTGGGTTGTATTGTTAGGCTCACACATACTGCTAGCTCTGAAATCTGGAGTTTTTATATCCTAAATTCCCACCGAATGTTTAGGTGTTTAAGACACCTGAGTCACATTCCTTGCTTGCCCTACTGCTGTTTTTTATAATACCTCTAGCATGTTTTGCAATGTTGTGTTTTTTCCCCTCTTGTTTATACTTTGGCTTGTACGACACTTGGTATATAAGAGGCTTACCTTATGTATATGCTTAGTCTTCTTGGGTTCCTTATTTTTTAATCTCACTAGATTATTTGCTGTTAAACCGAGTTATCCAAATGATCTATCTTTTACCTTTTTTATTGTTTCAAGCTAACATAGAAACATAGAATGTGACGGCAGATAAGAACCATTCGGCCCATCTTGTCTGCCCAATTTTTTAAAACACTTTCAGCTAGACCTATCTGGGAGACATACCATTGCAGAATAATATAGATATCAATATTAATAGCAACATAGTTTTTAAATTACACACCTATGCATATTTATCTTTGCGAGAACATGGAAACTTTCTTCCACAAGTGGTGGGGGTGTCCCAAAGTGAAAAAAGGTTTTGACACAAATTAAATTTGAGTAATATCCTTTATAAACCAACTGACCTTTCTCTGTGACGTTGCTGTTACCAAAACCAGTAGAGGCATACACCTCCTTCATTAACACGTTAATTGTGAAATTTACCCTTGTAGTTTAGAGAGCTACAGCCGAGAGCTGGCAAACAAGGTTCTTCCTCTCTGATTAGTGGTACTTAGCAAATTAAAAGACATCTGTCTTATGAACAATATTACTGGTTAGAGTTAGAGTCTCAGTAGCTTCATTCTAGCATGTCTGGTCGGAATGACTGGACTACTATGATTGAAGAGGGGCTACTACTTTATGAGTAAGTGTGGGGGCAACGAGAGTTGTAGGGTTGATTTTTTATTTTAAAGGCGGTCATGTTTTGATGTCTTTATCTGTGGCTCTTTCAGTCCTGTTCCTGTCTGATGCACACTTCAAATAAAGGAAAACAAAATCCTATTCACTTTTTATAACAGTCCCTGGTATGAGTGTATTTAATAATTCTGTGCGATGGTGTAATTCTACACAAAGAGCTGTCTGATATATCACACATGCTGATTGTACATTACGCAGTACCAAGCCATATCAATTGCATTAGGACAATCTCAATTCAGTCATTACATTAACAATAAATAAAAAGAAGAACACATGTTGTTGTTTAAAATGTATTTGCCTTATCTACCAATGTTGTTTATCAACTTACTTGTCCTTTTAAAAATTTGTTGGGTTTGTTTGACATAAGCAAATGCCTCGAACCTGTGTCCCCACGCTCCCCGTGAATTGATATATAGATATTAGCGTCAGTTCCTGCATTCCACAAATCTCCAGTTACCACACGGATTTCATACATTGTTACTGAAACAGGATATATAAAGGAGCGAGTTATAAAACTATCCATTTGCCATATGTTAACTTTTGTGTCTGTATAGCATTTAAAACGATGTTCAGCAAGTTTATCCATACAAACAAATAGGGCAGAACACCAACTTTATGCAGATGAGAATGTTGTAGAATTGTTGTAAAAATATACTATTATATCAAAAGAAAACCATTCCAGATTTATTTATTTTTTAAAGAAGTTACCATTAAAGAATTTTTGTTAATAAAGTATTTGGAATTTTTTTTTCAAACAGTATTAAATTCATTGGAAAGTTTATTAAATTGAGGATTAATTTCTTTTAAAAAATTTACTTTTCTATTTCCGAGCATATTATCTTCTGCGGGTACCTATTGCTGGCAGGATGCTAAAATATCAAAACTATGGTTATTCTTCTTGCTCTCTAATCAGCTGAAATGAGTAGACTAAAACTACAATCACAAAATGCATTTAAGGATAACAAAAATACATAGCTATACTATTCATAAGCAAAAATGTTATCCTTCTATACATGATTTAAAGTACAATGGCTCTAATCAAACTTGTACATAAATAACTCAATTCAAAACAGGGGAACAACTATACAGGTCTTATTTTGATCATTTGTAAACTCACACCATGTGACCCTATAGATCCACACTCTGTGACCAATTAAGAGTAGATTGTAAGGTGGCAGGGGGATATGTGTGAGTGACAGAGTGCAACCTCCACTCCTGTTTAGCATTTTACCGACTAGGCCCATGGCTAGTTTTCAGTAATGCCTTGACAAATTATATCTCCTAGGGCAGTACATAATGATTATTATATCCCTCCGTGGTGGGTAGAAAGATAAAATGACGTATTCGCCAATGCAGTTTTACATGGCAAGGATGTTTTATTTAATCTATCAAGGACCACTACCAAGTTTAGCCCCTGTATTGGTTGTCTGATAATCCTATCTGTATTTGGATGCCCAAAACTATCAGCCCATGTTACAATGTTGAACTTAGTGCTTTGAAATCCAAGCACTGATACTTACTGAAGGCAATGAACACTGAAGCAGCAAGGAACCAGATTTGTACTATTAAAAGCACATATCTCCTCCTTCCTCAAGGTAAGCACCATAAAAGCTTCCAATCTTAAAGCTCTCAGGGCTGTTATTTAATGGGGGAAGAGAAGAGATTATCCTACAGTTGGCTGCAACAATCTGCCCATTCAAAATATACCTTTAGAACAGACATTATTAATCTGCTTAGTAAACTATATATACAGAATACAGACAGACAGACAAATACATACATGAACTGACCGACAAACAGACAAGTCAGAATGACTGAGTTGGAAAAACCTCACATTTTCTTTTCATCAAAATTTCATATGATAAACCACCAAAAACTCTCTTTTTTAGTGAATGGACTCCATACTGTCATGGAAATGAAACTAAATTAAATGCAATGTAATTTTGTTTATTTTAACATGAAACACTTCACTACAGAGCAAAACTACATTGGCAAGCGAATTACTGCAATGAGATGGCATTTTTATATGGAAAATCCCCAACAACACAGCATTGTATGTTAAAATGTAACTTGGCTATAAAAAGTAGACAGGATGCCTTCTTATTTTAAACTTAGTCTAATCACATCAGCATCCATAGAAAAGATGCAGTGGAGAGAGTTATTTTTATTTAGGGATGAATCCGACTGTGTATCACTTAGAAGCATCTCAAAAGGAAAGCATAAAAAGCTGGAATATTGTTAACATAGTTGTGTTTTCTGGGTAACTGTACAGTCTGCTGCTTTTAAGATAAACCATGTTTCTTCTTGAGTCCATAAAAGTGAATGGTAGTTACTATAATCACATTGCATCAGTCATGTTCCATGTAATATGTTTTCAAAACACCTTTGTAAAATAAATTTCAAGTTACTTTGCTGATGCTACAAATATTTTCAATGCATAAAGTTCTAAGGAAAGCATGGAATGAATACTATCAGTCAGCAAATAAGAAAATGGGCTCATGGATTGTGAGAATCCTCTCTTATTATAATTCAGAGACACTCATTCACACACCTGGAAGTTTTGTGTGACCTTGTCGGGACACTGGAAGCTCTCTGCAGATCTCTTTGTCATCTTGATCCTGGGCGAGCCAGCGGTTGACATCAATGGAGAATTGCTCATTGGAAAAAATATTCAACAGATGTACCTATTGCAATAAAAGGTTGTTAAGAATGTCACATGCTTGTAATAGCAACTAATAGTGAAGATGGTCATTTCACACTTAAATGTAATCTGCGGTTTTAATTTCCTTTCTGAGATTGTGTGGTTATCTCATCAGTAGAGTAATTTTTATTGGCCGTAGACCACCTACTTGCTGATTTTGTTTCTCTGTTCTACAAGTCTGCTACTCAGTAACGTACAAATTAGATAATCAAATGTTATAAACAATTTTTCCAGCTACACTGACATAATTTAGTAGCCACATGGCATTACAACATTATGAGACTATTCGCTATTGTGACCTTGATTTTTTGTTGCAAGGGGGATGATCACACTGTTAGGATGTCATACAAACTCAGACACTTATTTGTAACACAAACCCCCCTGGGTGGATTTATATATAATAAGTTTTTCAAATTAGTTGAAAAGTTAAATCCGAACTGATTATGTTATACCATTAGCAGGGCTGGATTAGGATCTTATTGGGCGTAGTGCTGATAAGTACAATGGGCCCAATTATAGAATCTTATAGACATAAAGCACTAAACCAGTCATACCTCCCAAGTGTCTTGTATCTGGTGGAAGTGATGCCTAATACCTTTATAAGAATACACATACCCTGTGCTAATCTCTCACTTTCATTCCTCAAATCTATCAGTCCATCACTCCAATCCTCTCTCCCACTAATCACTAGCTCTGAATCCTTTCTCCTCAGTACTCACTTATTCAGTCCTCTCTTTTCCATCATATTAGCAGGCAGAAGCCTCTGGTATGCCACCTGGGACAGGTGTGTGGGGACATGCCACACTATTAAAGAGACAGAAGCAGCAAGAGCAATTGCACATTGTGCAGATTTAGCTTTACTATTTTCTAGTCAGCCAGGCCACACAAATTTCGTTCCCCTGCATCCCTGCATTTGAAGTTTTGGTTTTGGTGCCTGTATGGGCAGTGTTTAGGTTTGAAATGCTGCACATATAGAGATTAACCCCTTTGCTGCCAGAGGTGTGACTCCACCTATGGCAGTCTTATTAGCCAGCCAAGAACAAAATCCCAGCCTGGCTAATTTCAATTCTCTGCAACATTGACTGACCTCCCTCAGACCGTCCTCCCTGCTAGGAGGAGTAGGGTGAGTGAAAACTGAATGAAAAAAAGTAAGTTTAAGCCTTTTTGGGGGGCATTTGGGAAGATCAGCATAGAAGGGTTTGCTACAACCAAAACCTGTGTTTGTTTTATGAAAACAGTTTTTGTTGGAGTAACCTTTAAATTTATTATATTCCCTCTGCAGAACATTACAAAGCAGGAGCTAACTGCATTGTATTGTTGAAGTGATGAAATTATAAGGTGAGCTATCTCCAGTTCAAGAGTTTAATCGTTCATGTTTGGAGAACAACTTCTGAACTTTGTACAGTGAGGGAAAAAAGTATTTGATCCCCAGCTGATTTTGAATGTTCGCCCACTGACAAAGAAATGATCATTCTATAATTTTAATGGTAGGTGTATTTTAACAGTGAGAGACAAAATAACAAAAAAAAAAAAAAAAAAGAAACAAAAAACCTCATGTCAAAAAAGTTACAAATTGATTTACATGTCAATGAGTGAAATAAGTATTTGATCCCCTATCAATCAGCAAGATTTCTGGTGCCCAGGTGTCTTTTAGACAGGTAACAATCTGAGATTAGGAACACTCTCTTAAAGGGAGTGCTCCTAATCTCAACTTGTTACCTGTATAAAAGGCACCTGTCCACAGAAGCAATCAATCAGATTCCAAACTCTCCACCATGGCCAAGATCAAAGAGCTGTTCAAGGATGCCAGGGACAAGATTGTAGACCTACACAAGGCTGGAATGGGCTACAAGACCATCGCCAAGCAGCTTGGTGTGCTTATTTGCAAATGGAAGAAACAAAAAATAACTGTCAGTCTCCCTCGGTCTGGTGCTCCATGCAAGATCTCACCTCGTTGAGTTTAATGATCAGCTGTAAGGAATCAGCTCAGAACTTCGCTGGCATCTTGTTAATGAACTCAAGACAGCTGGGACCTGTCAGGATAGAGACAGGGATCCAATACGCAGAGTGCGGACAGAAGGAGGTACGTATACCGGACCTTAGAATGGCCGGACTAACGTATGGACAAAACAAGAATAGTCAAAAGGTAAGCCGAGGTCGAGGGAGCCGGAGGACAGGTAAGCGAGGGACAAGCCGGGTCAAAGGAGAGGAGAGGACAACAGGACAAAGGTACAAGCAAGGTCAAAACCGAAAACACTAAGAGAGAGAACGCGCTGAGTGACTAGCAAGCTAGAACCACGACAGGGCAATGAGCAGTAGTAAAAGTTCCCTTAAATACCCTGTCACCTTAATTGAGACCACGCCCCCAAAAGGTCCGGAATTGCGGTTCCCAGCACTTCACGTTAATGATGACGTCATGACGTCGACGCTAGCCGTCGCGTCATAAAAGGGGGAGGAGTTAGCACGGCCGGCGCGAAAACGGCCGGAATTTGCCGAAATGCTAGGGGAGGGGAGCCCCTAAGAAGAAAGGATGTCCTCCTCGGAGGCAACACTAACAGGTAACCTGACAGGACCATAGTCACCAAGAAAACAATTGGTAACACACTACGCCATGAAAGATTGAAATCCTGCAGTGCCCGCAATGTCCTCTTGCTTAAGAAAGCACATGTGCAGGCCTGTCTGGAGTTTGCCAATGAACATCTGAATGATTCAGAGGAAAACTGGATGAAAGTGTTGTGGTCAGATGAGACCAAAATCTAAATCTTTGACATCAACTCAACTTGCCATGTTTGGAGGAGGAGGAATGCTGCCTATGACCCCAAGAACACCATCCCCAACCTCAACCTCAAACATGGAGGTGGAAACAATATGCTTTGGGGGTGTTTTTCTGCTAAGGGGACAGGACAACTGCACCGCATCAAAGGGACGATGGACAGGGCCATGTACCATTAGATTTTGGGTGAGAACCTTCTTTCTTCAGCCAGGACATAGAAAATGGGTCGTGGATGGGTATTCCATCATGACAATGACCCAAAACACACAGCCAAGGCAACAAAAGAAGTAGCTCAAGAAGTAGCACATTAAGTTCCCGAAGTGGCCTAGCCTGTCTCCAGACCTTAACCCCATAGAAAATCTGTGGAGGGAGCTGAAGGTTAGAGTTGCCAAACGTCAAACTCGAAACCTTAAAGACTTGGAGAGAATCTGCAAAGAGGAGTGGGACAAAATCCCTCCTGAGATGTGTGCAAACATGGTGGCCAACTACAAGAAACGTCTGACCTCTTTGATTGCCAACAAGGGTTTTGCCACCAAGTACTAAGTCGAAGGGGTCAAATACTTATTTGACTCATTGACATGCAAATCCACTTATAACTTTTTTGAAATGCGCTTTTCTGGATTTTTTTTTTTTGTTATTCTGTCTCTCACTGTTAAAATACACCTACCATTAAAATTATATACTGATCATTTCTTTGTCAGTGGGCAAATGTACAAAATCAGCAGAGCATCAAATACTTTTTTCCCTCACTGTATGTTTATTTTATAACGTTTGGTATGAAAAAAGTACAAGTTCAATGAATGGGATCCTATAGTACCAGGAACGTTTTCCTGGCACTATAGGCTCCTGGAGTGCCCCCCTCCCTTGTCCTCCCCTTCAGCCACTTACCTGAATCCAGTGCCGATATCCCTCCGTGCTGGGTCTGGCTCCCCCCACGTCAGCCGACGTCAGCCAGCGTGGGAGATCAAATGCGCATGTGCAGCAATGGCCGCGCACGCATTAGACCTCCCCATAGAAAAGCATTATTCAATGCTTTCCTATGGGGAAAATCTGACGCTGGAGGTCTGTGAGAACATTCAGCATCAGATAACGGTCCAAAAGGCCATTTGGATTTCAGAAGCCCTCTAGTGGCTGTCTGTTAGACATCCACAGAGGGCAGACTTAGAGCTGCAATGTTTTACATTGTAGCACTAAGTGTAAAAGAGTCACAGCACCCAGACTACTTCAATGAGCTGAAGTGGTCTGAGTGCCTGAAGTGTCCCTTTAGCTTGGAGTAATGGAATTAATTGACCAAAAATTTTAATATTGCATGAATATTCTGCTTCATTATGCATAATTAATCTATATTTCATGCGAAATAAACTTTCGACTATAAGGTATCTTGCACATGGACTCTAGCGCTAACTTATCTCTTGGTTTTTGTATTCCCCAATGTAACTAGTCAAACCAGTTTCTAAAGGTAACGGTTTGACAACTTACCTGAGGTCTGCTGTACACTAGTTACCTTCTCTATGAGAGCCAGAAGCTATCTGCATTTAGCTTAGATTCAAATGTTCAAGGATATCACAGGAGGTATGTTAAACTCTTTTCTAACCCAGCAAGGCTATATTTACTCTAGGAGCCAAGTAATGCTGGTATTTTTGCTATGTATTTATTAAGCTGTAACATATTATGGGTTTTAAATTATCACAATGAAATGTTAACTTTTATTTGATGAGAGAATTAATATTTGCAGTGCTTTATACAATTTGATGACTTTAATAATTTTTTAAAGATAGTTTTATTGAAATTTTTTACAAAGTATATTCTGCATAATATGATTTTTCATTTGGATACTGAGAAGTAACTTTACCGCTTCACAGTGCCAGGAAGGAGATTCTCCAGAATTATCATGTCCAACACGTATTTTATAAATTTCTCCAATATCTCCAATGTTAATCTAATTATAAACAAACAAACATATTTCATCAAATTAGTCCATGTATTACTTAATATTATTTGGAATATTTTTTGTTCTACTAGTTTGTGTGCAGAGAGCCTCCTTTTGCTATAGTTTGGTTTCATGACATACAGTTTCAGGATGGTTTGATATTATAGGCATCACGACTTCTTTAGCTCAATGAGGCATTTTTAGTGTATGGATTATGGCCCTGTGATATCACTGTTCAATTCTCTGCCATTTAGACGTTAAATCACTTTTGTTTCTGTTTATGTAGCCCTGGCAACATCTTTCCTGGCTGTGACTGTCACAGCCTGCATAAAAAAATTATTAATTTTCAATAAGGACTTAACTTACTTTAGAAGTTGTATTTACTGCTCTGTAAATTGAACACACATGAGGCTCCTGCAGGGTCTAGCAAGCTACTAACATTGCAGGAGATAAGACATCTAAAAAAATCCTAGGATGTGCAATAAAGGAAGTTTAAACATCAGATCTCTCTTTACAGGAAGTATTTAGGAAGGCTGTACAAGTCACATGGAGGGAGGTGTGACTAGGGCTGTATAAACAAAGTGATTTAACTCCTAAATGGCAGAGAATTGAGCAATGAGGTCACATGGACATAATCAATACTTTGAAACTGGTTTATTATATTGTTTAACTCATACACTGACAGGCAGAAGCTAACTTATTTATTTACTTTACTACACAGAACAACAAGAACAAATAGGGTATCTAATAATACAAAGGAGTATCACATACAAATAGAACATTTGGACACCAGTTTTCATAATGCTGCCATCTGCTGGTAGCCTGACCACAGAACACTAATATATAACTTCCTCACCTTGATCAATTTGATAATGCCCAGCTAACATTTCCACATTAAAAATGTCCATTTTGTCTGAAATGGATGATATTGATTGGCTGAGAGTGCTGATGACATGTTAGCGCAGCACTCTGACGATCCATGTCATCAAGATTTAGTGAAAAGCAGTGGAGGAGGTTAATGGAGGGACACTTCGGCTATATCACACTGATTTTAAAGTTTTATATTTAACCGAGGGAGAGTGCCAGGAGCTACAGGAGGTTATGGTGCTTAGAGAGCTCCTTTAACAATTGACAATAAAATGAGACAGTAAAATGTTTTATGACAGAGTTTAAATACATTAAAAAACATTATTTTTGGTGTTAATTATTTTATTATTTTAATGAATACAATAATTTGTAGCAATTAATTGTGAGCTGAGCACACTGAAAACAGGTATTATGAGATCATATCTCCTACTGGATGTCGTGCATACAAATTAGATAACATTTATCCTATGTATATGATTCCCTATATGTAAATATCACAACATTTACCCACCTGAAAGGTATCTTCATGACCACTCTGGAATGCATCGTCTTCATTACTATATAGGAATACCGGCTCCGAAGCTTTCAGATGTCCATAAAATGTTATGTAGACCTGAGACGTAGTTCCAGCAGAAGGAATGTCACTGGTAAGGATTGATACTTTCCACTTTCCAGCTGAAGAGTCATGTGCACAAGATACAACAAGGATTGCGAAGATTATGTTTTTGGCACATTAAAAAGTGAATGCATCTCATATATCTAAGTAAATAAATATAATTCTAATTAAACATGTAATAGCTTCAAATCACACTAAATTAATATTAAAGAGACACTATAGGCACCAAAACTACTTTTTTGGTACATAGATCAGAGCACTGCAATCTCACTGCTCAATCCTCTGCCATTTTATTTACACAGCCCTATTCACATCTCCCTGCATGTGGCTTGCACAGCTTTCCTAAACACTTCCTGAAAATGAACCTATATAAATTAGGTTCCTTTACTGCACAGTCTGTTTAATCTAGAATGTATTATCTCCTGCTCTGTTAATAGCCTTTTAGACCCAACAGGTGGAGTGATTAAAGTTCAGTTTAGAAAACAGGAAATAAAAACTTCCAAAGCAAGTGAGCATCTGATTAAAAATAAAACCACTGTTTTCATGCAGTCACAGTCAGGCGAGGTGTGGTTAAGGCTAAACAGAAACATGATTAATACTAGTTTGTTGTATATTTAAGACCATGTTTTTTCTATCGCTCTTTCTTGTTATGTGCAATATTTCTGAGTGTGAAGTTCTCAACTGGAAGAGATGTGGCTGCTTTATTCACAAGTATGTATCATATATAAGTGGTGTTTGCACAAACAAGGAATTGGGTGCACTTGAACATTAAGGCGCTCCATGTTTTAATGACACCCAAAGCTCACCCTCATTTTTGATGACTTGACAAATAAGTTTTATTCATTATATGTCCAAAATATTTGTACTGGGTGTTTCAGTATTAGGCTGCACCTAACTGCTCTCTTATGTCTGTGTCTTTCTCTCACTTGTGCCTCTTAACGCTCACTTAACTCTGCCTGCCCCATTTTATCCACATTCATTTCCTTTTTTTACTCTAACAGTATCTCTGTGTAGCTCAGCATCTCAGGTATCTTTCCATCACTATATTACAGTTGTGTATTACTCAATTTCCCTGGCACAATTAGTATCTCCCTATATCCTCTCCTCCAATCTGGACTCTTGACCGCAGCAGAGAAATGCATTGCACTCCACCTGGTCTCTTCAGTGTTGTTCCAGAAGAAGTTAGTATGTGAGATGAGAGATGGGCGAGATATTATGTTACATCATGTTCTCACTCCTCCTCTCACAGATCACTTATTGGGATTCCTGTTAAAAGACTGCACAAATATATATTCCAATGAGCAATCCTGCTTGGTTGTACTATACTAGCAAGACTTAGAAAGGTACTCCCCACACTACTCTCAGCACACCGCTGCTAATGATCGCTGCCCACTCAATAAAGCACATAAAGGAATGTCACATCTGGCTTGTTCCTCCCCCTGAAAGCCCTCACTGCTGTTTTTCACTTTGGAATAAAGCTAATTGTTAAACATCCTTATTGATTGAGGCTCATATCTAGTATTCCTCAGAGGGATTAGGCTGCCATTTACTTTCTACATTTCTAGTCTCAACTTTGGTATCTTACTTAAGTGTAACTTTCATTCAAATCATCCAATGATTTACTGCCCTCTAATATCCAGAGTAGTATGGAATAATCCAAGATTCCTTGAGCTATTTTCCTGGACATAATGTTTTGTGAAATAAGCCTTAGGGCCAACTGATGGACATGTGCAATGAGGGGCCCGGTCGTGCACTGTGGCGCTTTAACAGCGTGACCTGGCCCCTTCCTATTCACATGGAGAGCTGGGAGGAAGTGACAGTGTAAGAGGAGGAGGGAGCAGTGAGGATGGGGCCGGATTGGCAGAGCAGGCCCCCAATTTACACTAGCCACAGCCAGCAGAAGGTAAGAACCTGTTGGGTGGCTTAATTTTTTTATATGTGTGTGTTTGTTTGTGTGTGTGTGTGTGTGTATCTGTTTGTATGTGTGTAATGTGGGTGTAACTGTATGTAGTGTGGGTGTCTGTGTGTTTGTGTGTGTGTATCTGTTTGTATGTGTGTAATGTGGGTGTAACTGTATGTAGTGTGGGTGTCTGTGTGTTTGTGTATGTGTAGTGTGTGTGTGTGTGTATCTGTATGTAGTGTGGATATCTGTGTAGTTTGTGTATCTGTATGTGTGTTTGTATGTGTGTATCTGTGTATGTGTAGTGTGTGTATCTGTTTGTATGATTGTAATGTGTGTTTATCTGTGTCGTGTGTGTATCTGTATGTGTATCTGTGTAGTGTGGCTATCTGTATGTAGTGTGGGTATCTGTGTGTTTGTATGTTTGTAATGTTTGTAGTGTGTGTTTAGAAGTGTGTCTCTGTGTATGTGTAGTGTGTGTATTGTGTGTGTGTGTGTTTGTGTGTGTAGTGTGTGTAGTGTGTATCTGTGTATGTGTAGTTTGTGTATACTGTATGTGTGTAATGTGTATCAGTGTGTGTGGCAGTGTGTGTATCTGTAAGTGTTAGTGTCTGTATGTGTCTGTGTGTATGTCTGTATCTGCAGGCATATCAGTGTGTCTGTACATCTGTATGTGTGTCAGTATCTACATGTGTGTCAGTTTTTGATACATATACTGACACACATACAGTTGCACAGATACATTGATACACATGCAGATATACAGACACACAAACACTGCCACACATGCAGATATATAGACAAACAGATACAAACACTGACACACATGCTAAGTACACAGACACAGTGTATAGGTAAGTGTATTTGGCTGCAGTGCACACACAGACAAGCTACATGCCCAGCATACACAGACACACGCTACATCCCCAGCACACACAGACATATACTACATCCCCAGCACACACACAGACACACACTTCATCCCCAGCACACACACAGACACACTACATCCCCAGCATAGAGACATTACCATTGCAGAAGCATATATGTTGGGGGTTTGTTGTTGGGATTTTGTTGGGGGGAAGAGGCGCATTTCATACTTGGATCTAGGCAGCACAATGTCTTGGCCGGCCCTGGCTGTCATCGTCTATAAACTGAGATCATGGATTACAGAGTATAGACAACATATAGTGATACATAAGTTTATGTGTTGAGTGGTGGCATTACCCATCTGAATATGTGATATGCAGCTGATATAGTGTTATTGAGCCTTTTAAGAGGGCCACCTTCAAGGACTTATAATCAAATGAAGTTAGTTGAATCACAAATGGAGTCAAGAATATTCAGACTGAGAGTTGTAACTCTCAAAACAAAGCGGTCTTAAATACCTTCAATAGTATCTCAATGGAAAATGAAACAGATGCAGAACATGACAAGACACAATTTAATGTCTGACAGCTGGCAAGAATATAACTTTCTTCAATATCGGTAGAAATAACGTCTGATAGAACTACCAGTCATCTGTGTTTAACCATTGCACTCATAATGATTGGGAAACAAATATTAGATATAAATATAAGGCCAAGCACTCATTGACAGTATAGAAGATCTTTACTCCAAACCAAGGGGTGGTATGGTTTCAGATGGACTGAGAATTGGTTGGTGGACATTTTTTTATTTATTTTTTAAACAAAGATTTGATATTTGACTAAATATACATTAAAAACTGATTGTGTATCTTATGGTGTGAACGGAGGTAATATGTACTATTGTTTTCTGTCTTGCTGTCGTAATAATTTGCATTGGCAACAAATTGTATGTTTTGATGTTTATTCTCCTCTTCTCTACAATATATAGTAGTCAATCAGTTTTTATTAAGGTTCAAGGATCATAACAAAAGAACAAAAAAATCTTACAAATAAGTTACTTATTAAGACATAGAACACAGATATTTCAAAGTCATGCAAATCAGTTTGCAGTATGAAATGAAAGCTTCCCGTCTGCTATATGATGACTGTAGTGGTTGGAACAGACTGGTGGTCATGGTATATTCTATTTTTCTGCTATCCAGAGAAGGATTGATCAAACGAAAAACAAAGAGTAAAGAAAATTAGGGATTTCAATAAAAGATTCCATCCACTAGTATTTCCTCTCCTATGGATCTGCTGAGACTGTAAAGTATTCATTGTGCTTAAATAAAAAAATATCTGGGCAAACTAAAAGCACTTGATTATTGTAAGTTCAGTAGATCCATACGAGATGAATATTTTATTGACTTTCCTCCTTCTCTTTTCTCTTTCATTTTGATGTAAGGGTTCAGCCCAGGATACATCTAGTAGTATCTAGTTGATTTCATTAGCTAAGCGTAAAAAGTATCTTTGGCACCTCTTTTTTGCTTTTCGAAATAATATTTTTATCCCGATAATTAATGACCCTTTCTGAAAAATAAAATGTATAAATTAAAGAATGAGATTATGGTAATAGAAAGAGTTCAGAGGTGGGCTAAAAAAATGAATCAGAGGAATGGCATTATTTTAGTTATAAAGAAAGGCGAACAAATTTAAATCTGTTTAGTTTAGGAAAAAGGCACCCCAGATATGATCAAATACATATATTCGGTGCCATTACAAATTATTGTCTGGAAACTTATTCATAAACAGGATTATATATAGGACTCAATGTCACCTATTTAGACTGGAAGAAATGAGATTTAGTATAGGGCAAATAAAATCATTATTTACTATAAGAACCATAAGGACATGGGATTCTCTGCCTGAAGAGATGGTTTGATCAAAGTCTGTAGAGATGTTTAAATAGCATCCGAATAAATTCTTGCAAAAACATTAGATTTAGGACTAAATATTTTTTTCAGCCTGTATAACTATGTAACTATGTAACTTGTTCCGCCTTGGAGGTCTTCATCCCTAAAGGCTATTAATGAACCCTTTCACTTTCACAGCCTGTTGAAAGTTTAATAATATTTTTTTTTGTGCTAGATACACAGCTCAGCCAATATTAAAACAAAAGTTTCCCTCTATATGTTTATATACTTATGTACGTGTAATATGCTTCCTATGAATATATGTACTTATAGTATGCTTCCTATATACTTTTTATTGTAGTTTAAGCTACAATATCTCACAAAAGTGAGTACACCCCTCAAATTTTTGTAGATATTTTATTATATCTTTTCATGTGACAACACTGAAGAAATTACACTCTGCTACAATGTAAAGTACACCCTGTTCCAAATTATTATGCAAATTATATTTTTCTCATTTACCTAAATAATTTATGTAAATAACAGTCAGCATAATTCTCATGTTATCAACTATTAAGAGTAAAATTCAAATTTTTTTGAGCAAACCTCCTAATGATAACAGTATTTTTTTTTAAACATAAAAAACTTGCAATGCACTGTTCCAAATTATTACACACAGTAAGTTTCAAAACACTTTATAGGTTGTAAAGAACTGAAAATTGTCATTTGTTGTGTTTGCAGCATATTTACTGAAATCAAAAGCAATTTCAATCAAACTTATAACATTTTAACTTTTTAAACATTTTAACACATAGGACCCCTTATTTGATAGCAGCTTCACAAGTCTTGCATCCATTGAACTTGTGAGTTTTTGGACAGTTTCTGCTTGAATTTGTTTGCAAGAAGTCAGAATAGCCTCCCAGAGCTGCTGTTTGCATGTAAACTGCCTCCCACCCTCATAGATCTTTTGCTTGAGGATTATCCAAAGGTTCTCAATAGGATTGAGGTCAGGGGAGGATGGAGGCCACACCATGACTTTCTCTCCTTTTATCACCATAGCAGCCATTGATGGAGAGGTATTCTTTGCAGCATGAGATAGTGCATTGTCATGCATGAAGATGATTTTATTACGGAAAGCATAGTTCTTCCTTCTGTACCAGGGAAGAAAGTGGTCAGTCAGAAACTCCACATACTTTGCAGAGGTCATCTTTACACCATCGGAGACCCTAAAGGGGCAGACCAGCTCTCTTCCCATGATTCCGGCCCAAAACATGACTCCACCACCGCCTTGCTGACGTCGCAGCCTTGTTGGAACAGGGTGGCCATCCACCAACCATCCACTACTCCATCCATCTGGATCATCAAGGGTTGCACAGAACTCATCAGTGAACAGGACTGTTTAAAAATTAGTCTTCAAGTATTTTTCTGCCCAATGCAGCCGTTTCTGCTTGTGAGCATTGGTTAGTGGTGGCCGAATAGAAGGTTTATGCACAGTTGCAAGACTCTGGAGGACTTTACACCTTGATGTCCGTGGGACTCCAGAGGCACCAGCAGCTTCAAATATCTGTTTGCTGCTATGTAATGGTATTTTAGCAGCTGCTCTTGATCCGATGCATGGATCTGGCAGAAATCTTCCTCAATGTGACTTTATCTGCACGAACCCGTCTGTGCTCTGAATCAGTCACAAATCTGTTAATAGTGCGATGATCACGCTTAAGTTTTCGTGACATATCTAATGTTTTCATCCCTCGTCCAAGGGATATTTCACTCTTTTCGGCAGAAGGGGGATCCTTTTTCTTCCCCATATTGCATGAAAATGGTGCTCTGCTTAATTATGTGGAACACCCTCCTTTAGTAGTTTTTCCTTAAATTGGGCTCACCTTGCAATCTAATTATCACAGGTGTCCGAGATTGTTTTCAGTGATCAAAAGAGCACTGAGACACAATGCCATCCATGAGTTAAATTGAAAAACAAAATATTTAATCTATGTGACACTTAAATAGTATTTGCATAATAATTTGGAACAAGGTGTAGTAAGTGTACAGCCTGTATAACAGTGTACATTTGCTGTCCCCTCAAAATAACAACACACCATTAATGTCTAAGCCGTTGGCAACAAAAGTGAGTACACCCTTAAGTGGAAATGTCCAAATTGGGCCCAAAGGGTCAATATTTTGTGTGACAACCATTATTTTCCAGCACTGCCTTAACCCTCATGGGCATGGAGTTCACCAGAGCTTCACAGGTTGCCACTGGAGTCCTCTTCCATGACAACATTACAGAGCTGGTGGATGTTAGAGACCTTGCGCTCCAACACCTTCCGTTTGAGGATACCCCACAGATGCTCAATAGGGTTCAGGTCTGGAGATATGCTTGGCCAGTCCATCACCTTTACCTTCAGTTTAATTAGTCTTAGTGATTTCCTAGTGACATAACCCCGGGAGAAATTTGGATCCTAAGGAGGGTGAGGGTCACCTCAACGGACCCTAAGGCGCATATACCTGAGCTAGTGTTTTAGCTCAGAAAAGTGTGAGTTAGCAGTTTGCACATCTACCTTTTTTAGCTTCAATTGTTGTAAACAAGTTGCACTATGTTGTGTATGTTTATGTTTCCTATTTAAGGTTCATTTTAAAGTGTTGGGACTTCATAGAAGTGTACACGATTCCTTAAGGTATATCCTGTTTTAAATTATACACTATCATATCCACTATAATTCATTAGAGCGCTACACCTGAAACTCCTTCTCTCCATAATTTCTGATAGAAAGATAACCATGGTGTAATAGCAGCTCACTGAAATTTGGTATACATAAGGATATAAGGATATTAATTATTTAAATAAGCACTTGTACTTTCCATTTTTTTGTGATTGTCAATGTGTATACACCACTGAGTGTAGCATGGCGGAGCGGAGAGCGGTACAGGAGCTTCTGTTTCCTGTACCCGGCCAGACTGACAGGAGGTGCTCACTGAGAGAGCACTCCCTGTCAGTCTGGCCGGGTACAGAAAAATGAAGCTCCTGTAGGGGATCTGCTCTGCTCGGCAATGCTACAAGAGGTACACCAGGAAGGGGAGTGTGACCACTAAGGTGGTGGAGGTGCACCAAGGGACAGGGAAGGGAGGGGAGAGGAACACCAAGGGACAGGAAAAAAAGGGGAGAGGGGAGAAGAACACTAAGGGACAGGGAAGGGAAGGGAGGGACCACTAATGGATGGGGAAGGGAGAAGGGCTGGTTAAGAGGCACATCGGTGAAGATGTTATTTTTTTTTGGAGGGGTGGAAAAATGTATCTTCGTCTATGTATCCAAAAATCCTTGCACCGGCCCTGGTCGTTATCATGTTGGAATACTGCCCTGTGGCACAGTCTCCGAAGGGAGGGGATCATGCTCTGCTTCAGTATCTCATTGTACATGTTGGCATTCATGGTTCCCTCAATGAACTGTAGCTTCCAAAGGCTTGCAGCACTCATGCAGGCCCAGACCATGATACTCCCACCACCATGCTTGACTGTAGGCAAGACACACTTGTCTTTGTACTCTTCACCTGGTTGCCGCCACACACGCTTGACACCATCTGAACCAAATAAGTTTATCTTGGTCTCATCAGACTTAGTTATTGTGCATCATCTTTAGAAGAGGCTACCTTCTGGGACAACATATGGTCTAAGCACTGACAGGCTGACCTCCCACCCCTTCAACCTCTGCAGCAATGCTGGCAGCACTCATATGTCTATTTCCCAAAGACAACCTCTGGATGTGATGCTGAGCACATGCACTCAACTTCTAAAGTCAGTCATGGTGAGGCCTGTTCTGAGTGGAATCTGTCCTGTAAAACCGCTGTATGGTCTTGCCCACCATGCTACAGCTCAGTTTCAGGGTCTTGGCAATCTTCTTATAGCCTAAGTCATCTTTATGTAGATCATCAATGATTTTTTTTCAGAGCCTCAGAGAGTTCTTTGCCATGGCCTGCCATGTTGAACTTTCAGTGACCAGTATGACAGAGTGTAAGAGGGATAACTCCAAATTTAGACCTTGTAACACTAATGAGTCACATGACATCGGGTAGGGAAAATGGCTAATTGGGCCCAATTTGGACATTTCCACTTAGGGGTGTACCCACTTTTGTTGCCAACGGTTCAGACATTTATGGCTGTGTGTTGAGTTATTTTCAGGGGACAGCAAATTTACACTGTTATACAGGCTGTATGCTTAATACTTTACATTATAGTAGTGTTTAATTTCTTCAGTGTTGTCACATGAAAAGATATAATAAAAAATTTACAAAAATGTGAGGGGTGTACTTACTTTTGTGAAATACTATAAGTAATAGTGTTTATCTAGTAAACCTTCCTTATAACCCTATTTCTTAGTTGCTATGTGGGATAACTCTACTAATCATTAAACTTAGAATTTCCTCTGATATATTCCACATGACAACGCTGGGGTAAGAATAACTGATCTGAATAATGCCCAGCTTAGCTACAATCACATCTTGGATAGTTTTGACTCAATTTTGTATTATAGATTTAATTTGTGAAAATTCAGAGTTTAGTTAATGACCCTTTATGTAAAGCATTCAAATGTAACCTGTTATAGGCCAACTTACAGTCTGCCCTTAACCATGGGTATAGGAAATGGGAGATGGGGGTACAGATCTCCCGAGATAGTGTTGTGGTGAGTGAGAGGGGAAACCCCTCCTTGAGTCATGATGGATGATCAAGCTGTGAAGACTACAAACTTTCTTTCTAAGCAAGACTAAAAAACCCCAGACACATCTTCTTCACATAGCTTTTTAACAATTAAACATGGAAATGTAAAACAAATGAAGTGATTATTAATTATTTACTATTTAAAATATTATTGGGAATGATGAATTATTGATAACTGATTATTAATACAAAATGTTGAATTTACAACAAAATATCAAATTTCTTTGTATTTTTGGTCATAATAGTGTGGTTATTATTATTATTATGATCGCCATTTATATAGAGCCAACAGATTCTGTAGCGCTTTACAATATTATGAGGGGGGGATGCAACTATAAATAGGACAATTACAAGTTGGGTGTATGTTCTCTAACAGAGGAACAAGGTTTTCCTAGTAAAAGTTTCAGCTTCGGAATTTATCTCAGCATGCTACAAAAACATCCCTGTAGCACATAAATGCTGTTATTAGAGGAATAAGAAAGCATGCTTCCATGATACTATTATTGGGTATTATACACCACTACTCTCATTGAGAAGCAGACATGTGAATGAGAAGTTCAATGTTTGTTTTACCAGATTGTGAATGTTAATCTATGTCTAGCATTGTACGAGGTGATATTGATGCATGAGGTCTTTCCATTTCAGTTCTACCTCTTCTAGAGACTTATTAATCTTGTTTTAATTATTTCTCTTTCATTCCCATCAAGACAAATGTCACACCAATCCACTTTTCAAAAACAAATTGGAAACTCATAGCATCTTAATAGGTTTGCAAAAAACAAAATGTATTTGTGTACACAAAGACAGTTCACAGTATACGTTTACATATAACACATCATATCACAATAGAATGATAGACAATAGGTAAAAATCATGGAAATGGAATGAAATATATGCACCATTTTGTAGAACACTTGTGTTCAAACCTCGTCTTCCAGCTGAGTAATTTCTAAAATGTTCTGTCAATCACAATCATATGATTTTAAGTCTAACAGCACGCCTGGAGTACCATGGTTGGATACACCAGTGAAGAGGTTTATTTTTACATAATAATAATAGAAGTTCACACACACATGGCTTAAAGGGACATTACAGGCACCATAGCAACCTATACTCCTTGCATAGGTTATGTAGCAAGGGCGCCCCTTTTCCTTGCTAATAGAGATTTACCATCACTAATTCAGCTATAATCTAAATCTCTGTTCAAATCACAGCACCACATGTCTGTACACGATTCTTGCCAGTACATGGAATATTAGAGTTTTTTCACAAAATGAAAGAACTTTAATAGTATGTATCTGTTATGATTTTGGATTGGTTATTTTTACATATTGTAATACATATTTCCATTGTGCATTAAATGCTAGTTTGGAGTACCCCTTTAACATTTACTTCTAACTACTCTGCAGCATTTTATCACAAATATAGTCATGTTAAAATGCATTCATTGTCTGGTGTCTGTTTTAAACATAAAAATAATGACTATAATAACTATATTAATACTAATTATTATTATTATTATTAATATAAATTGCACTCAATTAAAAATACTTTACTTTAGGAACCTTGGGGTTTTGTTTTAACATAACATAAAATTAGTTTCTACAGAAATATGAATAGTGAAACGAAGATTTTAATTCTATTCCTACAGCAATACATTTAAAAATAAATATTTTACAGTGAATTAAACAAAACTGGTTTACTATACAGTAACATGATCTTCCTACAAATCATGTGTTATAACAGAAAATTTGCTTAAAACGGCTGTAATTTAAAAGAACCGATATGTGTTCAAAAATATTCTTTATATATGAATGATTTACAAAGGAATTTAAAAGTACTAACTGCATTATAGGTAAATATAATCAGCTTATAGGACAAAACTAGAAAACTTCAGTTTGATAAACTGTCTGAGTATTTAGTTTCATATGAACTATCAACCTTAATCATAGTATTATAATCCCTATAAAATTATAAAAATGTGTAGGCACATAATAAAAGTATGTACTGTATACCGGAACAGATGTAACCATTCTGACTTACAGAAAGATACATTGTTAGCACCCTTTATACCAAGAGTGCCCAAATGGTAGATCTCCAGACGTTTTAAGACTGCAGCTTCCATGATGCTTAGTCATTCTAAATGCATGCATAGGCATGCAAAGCATCATGGGTGTTGTAATTCTACAACATCTGGGGGTCTACCTTTTCGGACACACCTGCTTTATACTGATCATTATATTATAAATAAAATATGGTATAATTGTAGAAATGTGGCAGTTTACATATGTCAATACATGAAAACAATTTTTACAAATGAGTGGAAAAAGATGAGAATTGTCATCAGTGTTTTTATCTTTAAACATATTCTAATAGCATTATTTTGGTTTTCTATTGGATTATCTACACCTAATATTTCCATTATATTTGCAGCAGCAGTTACCAACATTCTTTGAGTTACATCAGATTCATTACCAGGTATGTGTGTGGAAAGTATAGTGACACCTGATGAAATTACTGAGCATTGCAGCCAATCATCCCATCATCCCACCATCCCAATATTCTGTTTAGTATGTCCCTTTTTTAACTTACTACTTGTGGCTTCATTAATGAAAGATTGGATGTTTTATCCGTCATTAGTTCTTAATGTAGTAGCTTTACTATATAAATCATTAAATGCTGGGAGGATAGCAAGTGTGAAACAAGTATAATGGAAAAATAATGTCATTATTAGGGGATTCTGAAGACATCATAATTTAACACAAGACATCCATCAGTGTTATGGCATGTGATTTTATTGTTAAGGTTACGGCTAGCCGTTGTGCCTTCTTGTTTTTGGACAGTAACATACATGTACAAGATTGATGCAAGATTGATGATGTCTGGAGAGAAGTTGGGGATATAGAGACAGTTTGATTCTGTCTATACATCATCTCTCCAGGCATATCAGTAATGGGAGAGGAGTTAAATAAATTGAGAAATAGCCACTGCTGCCCAGGAGTGTAACTCTCATTAATTGTGGCCAGGGCATGACAAATATGTACTGGCACTGTACTATGATAAGGAGTCCCACACTGCACAATGCCAGGCACTTGGCGCTCTATGTTTTTTATTGCATGGTTTACCATTAAATTACCCTTTAGATGTTTGAACACATGATCTAGATTATCTCCTTTATCTAGATTAATTCCCTTTTTTTTTTTTGTTCCCAAACTTTAGACATCTTCAAAATACAATTTCTCAATTGGCTTTTGACATAATACTAAGTTACAAGATCACACTGTACATACAAAGGTACTTTATAAAAATCAACAAAAACTATGTTTGATTAAAAATAATTATAAAGTATAATATGTAGGCACAGAGCTGACATTTGCTTCCCTTATTGCATTTTTAAAATTGTTTATGTTTTTTGTATTTTTTTCTAAAATATTTCAATATGATGCAAGACATTGTTATTTTCATCTATCTGTATATGCAGAATATCTGGAGTTATATTTTTTGTTGATGTTGTACTGTACTGTATATTTGAATTATCACTGAGCATTCTAAATGTGGATCTCAACCATTTTTTTAATACATATTGATTGAATTTCTTTACTATTTCATCTTTGTTAACTACCTCTGTATTTCCATTAGATCCAAATTCACAGGTCATGTTAGCTCTGCAGAAGTAAACATTACTTGCAGTATTGTTATAGTTTGAGATCATGTTGTTATTCATGTCTTTTAATAATCTCACCTCTACAGAGGGTCTATGCAGTTTTAATTGGGGTATTGGACATTGGATTAATAAATTCTCTATGTCACATGTGCTTTGGTAAACAAAGCCTCTGTTTTCTTCATTTATGGGAATGATTATTGCAGTCAGTATTGGGCAGTGCTGACCACAAATAAAATGAAGCTTATCCAGGGAATCTTGCTCCTTTACTTGCCCCCTGCTCATCGTGCTATGTTGGGTTGGTTGACCTACATCGTCCTTCTGACCTTCAGGATGTGACACAGGATGTACTTTGTTATCTGAAAAGTGCAGATCCACTGTGGCAAAAGATGGAAGGCTTCCACTTTTTCCACCATATTTCAATAAAGATCTTGAGGATGGTGAATCAGAGTCTCGTGATTTGATTTTCACAAACATTTCTGATGATTTGGGTCTGCATTCTGCTTTTACATTAAATGTGTCATTAAATGGTTCTGAATCACTCCCGTGAGGCATGTTAAAATAATTACAGTGATGCGGCCTAACCATATCTTCAATTTCAGATGACGATACGTCTGCAAGAGGCAACTGCTGATTCATCTTACCAACATAACTTGAGTAAGGAACCTCGTCACTTGTAGTGTCAAGAAATGTGTCAATGGAGGTTGTATCTAAATGACCATACATTCCAATGGCTTGTGGAGGTGACATCCTTACCAAATTATCTTCTTTCAGAAGCCATCTGCCTTTATCTATTAGAACACCATCATTTGTTTCTGAGCTTGTGTTGATAAGACCACCTTTATTTGAGGGTTTAACACCTAATGCATTATTTGGGGAATATGCAGGCTCCAAAATTGGAAAAGATGCACTTTTTAAGCTGCTTGTGCAGTCTTTTGAAGATTTATCTTTATAACAGTTGTTAGGACTAGACAAAGTCCTCATCATATTTTCTTTTGATGAGGATTGATGATTGCAAGCAACATTTTCCTTCATTGCAGTTTTAATGGTTTCATTAGGACTTTTCTGTACAACTTTTTTGGTTGAGGCACAGACTGCAGTATTACAAGGACTGACTTTGGACTCTGATTTACCATAAAGCCTTTCAATTGCTCTTCTAACATAACCAGTTTTAATGGGTTTTTCCTGTATTTTTTCATCCCCACTTTCTGTTATAATATCACTGGATCCTTGTAATGTGTCACTTTTTGAGCTTTCCTCACTATCTTGTTTGTAGTCTGACCAGTCAGAAGACAATGGGCTTTGGACAGACTTTTTATAATCAGAATTGTTAGAAGGGTGTTTTCTTTGCTCCATTTCTTGAACTATCATTTTAACTTTTGAGGTTTTTCTGGGAGAAATTGTACTCATTTGCACACTGGGGTTGTTTCCAAAGCTGATATCTGACAGAGGTGACAGTATGAATCTTTGTGTTGATTTCATCATCATATCATCAGAATCTTCATTATCAGCAACTACTCCTTCTTCTAGAAGGAATTGGTCTATGTTGTCCAAAACCTCATTGCTGCTATTATTTGTGGACTCTTCTGGTTCTTTGTCACTGCTGCATTGTGTTACAGCCTCGATATTCATAAGACGCCTATCATTTTTTCTGTATTCACCACAAACCTCTGTTTCTGGCACGGATGCAAAAAATGTCAAGTCATCTAAGTCATCAATCAAATCACTGTTTTCTCTTTCTGTGTTCAACAAATTTATATCTTCAAACCGATCTGTCACATTGTATTCTGCATTGATGCTACAGCTATGGTTACTTGCTATGTCTTTGACAATGTTCGCTTGTTTTTCGGGAACATTTGGAAATAATTGGGTAGATGTTTGTCCACCAGCACATGCTAGGTTCTCCATGCTGGAATCCTGTCTCAGTGCAGACTCTTGCAAACTTAGGACAGCAGCTTTCAAATCATCTGCTTTCTCTGTAATGGCTATTTTTTTCAAAACTTGCAAGAGGGCAAATATTTCAGAGCCAGCACAAGAACGTTTAGTTATATCCTCAATCATGTTTTGCATGCCCTGCTTTAAATGTAATACTAATAGCCAGGCTAGTAGGACCTGAGAGGATGAACCAGTGGGTTTGGAGGGCCATTCTTGAAGACTAAGTGACTTTTCTAAATGCCTTATTTTTGTTTTTGGTATATATTGGGGTGTAGAATTTAGCTGCTGAGCCAGTATCTCATCTATACAGTCGTTCATGGTATGGTCTGTTGGATCTTTCTCAATGGCTTTAAGTTCAACCTGGACCGCGACATCTGAACTTTCCTTTTTCTGTGACATTTTTGCCATTTGGTTGTTTGCCATCCAGTTGAGTAATTTATCTTTTCCGCATTGTTCAATTTTTGCATTGTTTTCACACTGCTGCATAAATAATTCTGCCAATTGTTTACCCTTTTCCATCAAAGTTGATATTACTTCTTCATCAAATGGCCCAGTGTGTAACATCATCATATCTTTGCCGTTGGCATGTTCTACATGAAACAGAACTGGTTCCATTTTATTTGAGTCAACACAGCTATTAGACTGACTATTGTGTGAATTAGCTTGCAAATCATTTTGATCTTTCATTTTGGTTTCCTTCTCTAGCTGATCACCTTGACTATTACTATAAGAAATTATGTCTTCACCTCTCCTTGTTGAGGGGAATAATTGGATCACAGGAAAAGTAGCATTTGGAAATATTTTCGTAAGCCAGCTTTGAACGTAACTTTCAGCAGAACTAACAGGAGTTGGAGAACTTGTACTTCTTGTGTCTTGATTATCAGGAGCATTTAATTTTTTACTTTCAGTCATCTTATTTTTGTTTTTCTTTTTCGATTTATTTTGCTTCTTTGACAAATCATGAAACTTTTTGGCTGGTTTTATAGTCTTCTTACGGACTCCTTCTTGCAGAAGATTATGCTCCATTGGTGGGTTAATAGCATGTTCACAAGAATAGAGAAGAGGCTCTCTTGTTATAATGGTAGCAATACCATTCCCAGTTCCAGTCTCCGTAGCAGGATTATCATCTACATTATTTTCCGTTTTACAGCCGACACTTTTATCATTTGGAGGACTTGAAGGCTCAGTAATCTTTTTAACTGCTCTGGGCTTTACTTTTGCCATTTGTTTATTACCTTTTAATTTCTTTACTATACCTATTTCAGTTTGTTTGGGACATGACAAATCCTGAGGTTTGACATCATCAAATGGAATATTGCTATCATCCTGATGCTCCAGATCACATGAAATCACATCTCCTAGCTTTGGAGATTGTTTATAATTGGGGGCAGTTTGGGGTATTTGTGCATCATCATTTAAATCATATGCTACATCCCCATTCATATTTCCTGCCTCCATGGATGTGTAACATTCTGCGTCTTGGTGAAAGCTGCAATTTATTTCACTACCCACCATTTGTTTCTTTTTCTTCTTTTTTTGTTTTGCAGAGATTCTAAGCTGAGTGTCATTACCATTATCTACATCATTCTCGAAGCTAGTATTCATTTGACTTTCAGAAGTCAAATGTGAATTATTTTCACAAGTGTTCCCTTCCTTTGTAACATTCCTATGTGCTTCTTTTGACATGGCATCCAAAGAACCTGGCTTACAATGTGCAAAATCAAAGCGTTCAGCTTGACTCATGGATGGGTGTAATAATGAAATGGACTCACTTACAGATCGTTTAAGTTCTTTAAATTTAAAATGATCTTGGTGTAATACATGCTTACCTACTGAATGCGGCTGATCATTCTGAGAGGGTTTACCGAAACATGCATAACCACTACTTTCAGTGGTAAATTCTGATTTTTTAACTACCCTTTTTGTTCTTGTGTCCCTCTGCAATACTTTCATACTTGTGGTCTCCACAACATCAAAACTCTCCTGTCTAAGCATAGAGGGCAAGCATTCTTCATTTATATTGTCCATTTCATTGTTTTCATTACTTTGAGTATTTGCGGTTTCACCAGTGTTAAGCATTTGTTCATCACAATGAGCTACAATACCAGAATCTGTATCTTCCTGCTCAGTTTCACCAGAAAAGAACATTTGCCGGATATGTTCTCTTATGTTTCCTGCTGATATTTGTTTCATAGAAGACTTTCTTTCCTGACCTCTTCTGATTCCAGGTGTAGGAGGCCTATAGAAGCGTGCACTCTCTTGTCTCGAAGAGGTTGTTCTGTATACATTTGAATTTATTGCAGGAACATTCGTTTCCAACTGATTTATTTCTGAACAAGATGCATTTTTGGATTCCGTTTGGTTTAAACAATCTTTAGGTGTCTCAATGTCTTTAACATTTGTTTCTAATGGAGAATCACTTGTATAAATTGCTTGGATGTCTGGTTCTACAGTGGAACTTGGCAGTTTTTGCTTGTGATACAACAAATCTGATCGACTCACTGTAGTTGACCAATTAATGGTTTCTTCTTCCTTTATCTTAAAGCGAACTCTCATTTCAACAGTCATAGTACCATCAAAATTAAGGTGGATTGATTTCTCAATGTTATCTTCAGGAGAAATCACTGGTAACTTTTCTCCTGAATGTGGCCAGTGTTCTGTAATACTTATTTCATTTGTTGGCATGTAAGGAAAATCTACAAATTCTGTATTGCATATTTTATCTGAAGAAAGTGAGAGCTTTTGTCCACTGGATTTATTGAAAATGGGTTCATCAGTTTTAATTTCTGACATGGGAGATTATTGGAATTAGTAGAGTAGGCAGCAAGCAGAAGATATTTTCAGGAATTCAGATTATCCAGGTAAGAAGACAGTGACACAGAAATAGTGATGAAAGCAAAGGAAAGAGAAAAAATAGAGAATGGAGTTAGTAAAGATGCCAAAGCAAATAAACAAATTAATAAAACTGAAAATGATCTAGTAAATGAAGTAAATTTTTAAATGCAGGTGCTGATTAACAATAGAAATAGAAAAATAATAGATAAAACAGATGAATAAGAATTACAGAGTAACTGTCACGGTGCCCGATCGGCACCTCGGTGTAGCCGCACCGCAATATGACCGTGTCTGATCTGTGCGATCACACTATAGGAGGAGGAGGTTTCTCGCCTTGCCTCCAGCACCTCTCCCTCCACATAGCTCCTAGGACAGTAAGGACAAATGCCAGGTCCAGCATTAGGAAGGACGCTGGCAATAAGTACTATCGTGACAGTAAGTACTACCTGCCCGCTGGCTGCTAGCCAAAAGCCGACTAATTTTAACCAACAGAATCCAGATTTTAGCCATTCGGCAGTCATCCATCCAGCTATAATCGGGACACCATTCTAGCTCATCCAGACCCACAATTTAAAAAGCTAGACATTGCCAAATTCTATTAAAAATACACTAAATAGCCAACATGGATTATGTGCTACTATGTGTCCCCAAAGAAAATGTGTCTATTTTTTTATTTTATTACTATTAAAAAGGAGTAGTTAGTTGTTCTCAGGAAGAAGTATGTGTTAGAACAATGCAAAAAAGATGGGTTTATGCAGAGCAGTAACTAAGAGTGAGGTGAAATAGGACTATAGTTTCAGCTGAAGAGGTTAAAATGGTGTTGAATATACAGTTATAATAACAAAATGTGGCATAGCTATGCAAAATTATAGGACAAGTATTTATAAATAGTGGTGCTGCAACAAGTAGTACAAATATATATGCACCATTGAAATAACATCCGTTTGTTAATGAGAGGGATGTATAGTATGCATATAGTGAGGTAAAGGCTACAAGGCTAAGATGAAGAGTTGTTTGAGAAGAGCATGACTTCTGTTTTTAATTTCTATAGTATAAAAATCTTTCTATAACCTTGTACTTCCCTATCTTTCCTCACTAATTCCATGGTCTTCTTTGCCTGTAATCTACGTCCCCGTAGGTCCATAACAGTAACTTCACCTACTGTTTCAAACAGACCCCTGGAACCACTCACTCCTGGCCTACACCTTCTGGAACAAACTCTCTTCTGGAATCCCAATGGACACTGCACATGACGTTCTGAAGGCTCCAGAAGATACAGCTATTCATAAATGTTCACCTTCCTGAGCCATAGTTAAAAGCCCTTCCAGGTACCATCTCTTCCCTAATAATATAACCTTCCCATTATTCCCTAATAATTCCTAATTATTCCTAATAATACTTCCCATTATTCCCTACTCCCAAACATTGTACTGATTACCCAAACACTAGCTATCCTTCCCTGGTTTTATGTGCTGTTTCATGATTGTCTAATTGTCCTTTGTTGCATGTGCACCTTAATAATTGTTTTACCAATGTACTATGTGTATAAGCAATATATGCACATCATTTGTTTTTGAAATACTACATTTAGCCTCTGGAGAGATAGCATTTCAAGTTATCACACCTTTGTAATAATAATGTTTAAAGGATACTCCAAGCACCATACACACTACAGTGCACTACAAGGGTATGGTGCCAGGGGTGTCCTATCTAATGTAAGTAGTCAAACAATGTGCTAATGGTTTGACACCTTACCTGGTGCCATTGCTCTATGAGAACCAGAAGTTATCTGCATTGAGCCAAGCCTGATAAACTGGCCTTGCATGGAAGTGTTTAGCTCCAGAGGTCTAAGAAGAAGAAACTCAATGCAGGAGTTTCCAGCTCTCCATAGAGGAAGTGACCAGCGCCCAATAGACCCCAGGTAAGAGGTCACATCATTAGTAAATGGTTTGACTAATTGCACTGCAGCTGTGGTTGGATTTCTAGGGCACTCATGCCACCATAACCATTACATCACAGCTGTCTATGTGTTCAGGATTATTGACTATTTTATCTATTTTTGTCACACTTAATGTATCTAGCAACAGTTATGCTTGTGGTTGTGTACAACTATTACAGACCCTGTCAAATATTTCAAGTAAGATACACCATCCACACATATACACCTCATCAATATTTCTGTAAAGGATGAAAGAATAAATGAATAAAAATTTTGTGAAATTCACATTAATCTGCTTGGTCTGCACACCGTGTTTCCAAATATATCATGTTAATACTTTTTAAAACAAAAAGTGCTTGGTAGTGATATATTTATCTCTACTCTTTATCAGCAAGATCACACAACAACAAGCATTGCTTTGATGAAAATAACTCCTTTAACAAGTATTATAACAAACAGCTTTGTTTATACTGATGGCCTAGGTTTGCAATCTGGAGCAGTGACTGATAGCAACCAGTAAACATAATTTTCAAAAGATGGCTCAGTTACTGACAGTACGTAGATGAATGGTACTCACGGCTTTTCATTTCTGGTTTAGATCTTTGTTTAGGAATCACACGCTTAGTGATCCCAGGTAATTTAGAAGGTAGAAATTCCCTTTCAGTCTCGTAATTTGCATGCTTAAAAGGTTCCCTTCCTGCTGCCACTATTGTTCCAGAACTCAGCAATAAAGCATGGATGCTAAGGATCTGAAAGAAAAGTACCGTTATTAGAAAATTAGAGAAAAAAAAATAACTACTGAAATAAAATATACTTAAAACAAAAATAGTGATAGGAATAACATAACAAGTGTGCTTTTAGAACATATACACCCCTTTGTCTCCTGGATGTGGGAATCTATTATTTACTTAAATGCAATAGTTAATCATTCAATAAACCCATTCATTAGATCTGTCACCAGAATAAGCATTTTATACAGTGGGAAATGTACTTAACTGGATTTGCTTAAGAAATAGACAAACTGCACCAAAAATTATATTGCTAATTGTCTGCTTTTTTGAGATTTTTGATTTTTATATTTTAGTGAAAGGTATAAAATCCTATTTTTTCCTTTGCATGAATTCTGCACATTTGCAACCATTGTTCTGTTTTTGTTTCACGAGAACAGCATTCTTTTGTTTTTTGGCCATGAAACACTACCTATTAATGGAGGGAGTTTTAGCAAAAGAACTTTGGCGGTAGTTGTGGAAATGATCAATGATCAAGCAGAAAGATTCAGCAGAATTATCAGGACTTTTTAATAAAGTGAAAATTGAAAATTGTAAGTGAATTCAAAGTGAATAAAAAAATGTAAAAATAGCTGAATTAGCAAAAAATCTCCAAGTCAATTCTGTTTTCAGTTTGGTAATTTTGTTCTCAAATTTATCACGGCAACGCTCTGACTGAAGATTGGAGACATTCACCATGTGGTCTGCAGCTCTGCATCCGGCAAGCTGCAGAACGGAGAGCCCACCGGACCACCAGTGAGCCAGACAGGACGCTGGACCACCAGGAACAGAAGTAGCCCACCAGACCACCAGGAAAAAACGTACAGTTCTCCCTCTCACCCTGTCACCCCCCTCACCCTGTCACCCCCTCTCACCCCACCTGTCTTGCCCCTCGCGCCAATGCCTATCATCCCTCACCCTGTCACCCTCTCTTCACCCTGTCATACCTCTCACCCCTGCCACCCACCACCCAATCGCCCCCCCTCAGCTTGTCCAGCCCCCACTCTCGCCTGTCAACCCCCTCTCACCCTGTCACCCCTCTCATCCTGTCCGCACCGACTCACCCTGTCACCCCTCTCTCACCCTGCCACCCCACCTGTCACCCCCTTTCATGCTGTCACCCTGCCACCCTACCATCCCACCTCTCAATCTATCTTACCCTGCCACCCCATCTCACCCTGCCACCTCACCCTGTCACCCCGTCTCATCCTGTCATCCCCCTTCCAGCCCACCTAGCACCCTGCCATCTTGCCCTGTCATTCCCCTCTCACTCTGTCACCTCACCCTGTCACCCCCCTGCAACCTAACCTGTCACACCCTGTCACCTCCCTCTCACCCTGTCACCCCACCTCTCATTCTGTCATCCCCCCTCACCCCTGCAGCCCCTGTCACCCCCTTCACCCCCTCTCACCCTGCCACCCACCTGTCATCCCCTCTTACTCTGTCACCCTACGTAGCACCCTGTCACCCCACCTCTAACTCTGTCACCCGTCTCTTACTATCACCCCACCTCACACTGTGTCACCCCCTAACACTGTCACCTCCTCTCACCTTGTCACCCCCTCTCACCCTGTCACCCCACATTATGTCACCCCCTCTCACTCTGTCACCCTCCTCCCTCTCACTCTGTCATCTCCCCTCTCACTCTATTACCCCCTCACACTATCACCCCCCACATTACGTCACCCCCAGTATGTCACCCCATCACCCTGTCACCCCATCTCACTCTGTCACCCCCTTTCCCTGTCACCCCATCTCACCCCTGTCACCCCTCTTACTCTGTCACCCACCCTGTGACCCCCCCACACTATGTCAACCCCATTACTCTGTCATCCCCTCTCACCCGTCACCCCCTCTCACACTGCCAACCCACCTCACACTGTCACCCTCCTCTCACCCAGCCACCCCACCTGTCACCCCCTCTTACTCAGTTACCCCCTCTTACTCAGTCACCCTCCTGTCTCTCACTGTCACCCTCCTCTCTCTCACCCAGTCACCCTCCTCTCTCTCACTCTGTCTCCCCCTCTCTCTGTCACCCCCTCTCTCTGTAATCCCACCTCTCTCTGTTACCCCCTCACACTCTGTCATCCCCTCACACTCTGTCACCCTCCCTCTCACTCTGTCACCCCATCACACTATGTCACCCACCCTCTTACTCTGTTACCCCCTCTTACTCTGCCACCCACCTTCATTATGTCACCCTCCCTCTCACTCTGTCTCCTCCCTCTTACTATGTCAGACCCCTAACACTAATGTAACCCTCTCACACTAACCCTCTCACTTACTCTGTCACCCCCGTTACTCTGTCACCACCCCTCACACTATGCCACCCCCTCACACTCTGTCACCTACATATACTTTGTCATTTTTCCCACACACTCTGTCACCTCTCTCCGTGCACCCTGTCACCACTCTTGGCGCACATTGTCACCCCCCCCTCCATACACACTGTCTCTCCCTCCAAACACACAGGCACCACTCTCCGCACACAAAGGCACCACTCTCTGCACTCTGGCATCTCCCTTAATACACACTGTCAACCCTCAACACTCTGGCACCCCCCTGCATACACTCTGGCACCCTCCTGTTCGTTTACACTCACCCTGTCACAGTTACCCCTTTACTCACCCTGTCACCGCCTGACGGCAATCATTATACACACCGTCATAAAACATAGCTTCGCCATAAACTCAGTGCCAAAGGCCACAGGCAGTACACAAACATACACATGCTCAGAGAAACATACATACATACATATACAAGAATATTCACTGCCAGACACACACGCTCAAGCACACACAGGTAGACAATGCAACAATGTATACAAAGACTAGCTCTCTATATACAGCACTGCAAGCTCCTCCTTCAATATATCTACAGCTTCTTATACACACAAGTCAACTGCTGTTTTTTTTCAATAATGGTGTTAGTAGGGGCCTCATGTATGAGTTTCACCTAAGGCCTCGCCAAGTCTAGAGCCGCCACTGCTCAGCAGCAAAGAAAAAACTGTTTAAAATCAATAGAAAAACAAGTTATAAAAAGTTCACATAGTAACAGGTCAACCAATCAGAATAACTCCAATCTATAAAAGTCAGAACCAAGGCATAAACTTTCTCTTTCATGTGGTCCCAAAATCAAATTCAAATCAGTACAAATAACAAAACCTGGAGGAAAATAGAACATTCTTTGAAAAGAAAATTAACTAGAGTATAAGAAATATGAGTCATCGAAGACCTCAGAGGTCCTTGATAGCGAAATCAAGTCAAGAGTGAAAGAAAAAGAAAAATGGTAATCTCACATAAAAATTTCTGGAATTGTCAATATTATAACAGCAAGCATGTGTAAGTCATCCATAACAAGATAAAATCACGATATAAAGTGACTATAAAATATGAAAACTATGGCAAAATTGTCATAAGACAAGAAACTACTTTAACAAGAAAGGTAGAAGATATACAATACCCCGACAAACATGTAGTAAATACCTAACATTAATCAAAGAAGAATCAGCCAAAGGGATGGGAGGTTGGGAATAATACTCGCCTCCATGTCATTAATAAAAAGAATGACTTTACATCATGTTAATAGTAAAATATTAGAGTTTTACTAAAAACACAGAGGCTCCTATGAAGTGAGTTTAAAGCTGAGAAATCATGTTTTCAAAAAAAGTTTGAATTGGCTTCAAATAAAAATCTTGAAAGGTAAAATTCAAAGACTAATCAGCCACCTTTGAAATATCTTCCAAATGACAACCAATCGAAGAAGCTTTAGAGGCCATAGCTCCATGTACAGAATGAGAATAAAAACTTGAAATGACAATGCCTGCCAAAGACATAATCAATTTGACTCAACGGGCCAACGCGAGAGTAGAAACTGGGATATGAGGTTTGTGAAATGCAATAAAAAAAAGTGGAGGTCATAAAGAATGTCACAATGAGCTTCATATGTACGTAAATATGTTACATTACAAAGTTTGATCTTATAAAAAATGCCATATACAGAACTGACCGGGAAGTCTTAGTTCTACAAGAAATATCATAATAAACGCCTGTAAGGGATTGAGCATCGGCATCTAGTGCTTGGACATCAGACATCTATTACAACAGATCAAGCAAAACAGCATGACTAATTTGGCAAAAAAAGGCCACAAGGTGGCCACAAGTACTGAGACTGGGGGCGGAAGTGTGAAATGAAAGCCTTTAAGAAGTCAGCAAACAAAAGGATGACGTCCAACCAGTGTATCATCAATACTGTGATGTTCAACTGGAATGGCTGAATGATAAAGAATAATGGTACTATAAGTTTTACCATTATCAGAAAAAGGAAGTTAAGAAATGTAATAATTCATTCAAAGGAGCCAATTAGGGATCAATACTTTTGTTCCAGGCACCAACCATTCCATGCATTCCAAGCAACTCTATAAGGCTGTCTCATGTTGCTTGTGGAAATATCTTTCCAGCACTTACCCAAACCGTAAGAGCTCAAGTTTGACTCTATGACAAAGTCCAAATAAGGTGCGACAATTCCAAGCATCCATGTGGTGAAGCCACCAATGGATCTTGGCCCCAATTTCCAGACCCACAAAATCTTTGTAGGATGTGCATTCCTTTTAGACATTGAAGAGCTCTGTAGTGTAGAGAGCCTAGCGAGATAGCTGGTATCTTGGCTGTTAGGAGACCAATTATGTGATCTAGGTGTTTAGAGAAAACTGATTTCTTTTTTGATGTTTGCCATTTCCTTGTAAAGTGAACTGAAGGAAGTCCTGGAGAGTGTCAATTTGAGACAAGTGTCCTTGAGATCTAGCTTGGCCACCAAATCTGATGGGTGGAGTAGATCTCTTCTTGAAATGATGGTAAGAAACATAAGCATTCAGACGTTTTAAATTGATTACTGGTTTGACACCCCCTCCTTTTTAGGGAACCAGAAACTCACAACACCTGGAGTATAGAATTTAATTTCTAGGATGGCTTATTTGTGAGGCAACTCTTGTATTTCCTTGTTGGGAAAATAACAATCTCCCAGGGAAGCAAGAACTGCGTAAGCAGAGATGTAAGAAGAGAGTGTCAGAACTTACCTTAACCACATGCACCTCTCAAAGCCCAGGGACAACTACACTATGGGTAAAAGTTTGGTGGATCTCCACATAGAAACAGCAGGTTTGCCTGTATAGGAGCCTTGGTTCAAACATTGAGAACCTCATGGGAAATGGCCAGACTGACAGATCTATGCTCTTTTCGTTTAAAAAAAAACATTCAGCATATTCGATTGCACCTTATCTAAGGCAATAAAGGTCTGTGTGTAGACCAAGTATTTGACAAAAGAGTTGCCAGATAGGAGCCCTTTAGCCAGATTTGCTGAGGGCCAAATTAACTAGTTTATATTCTAGTTTTAAAAGAATAGCTTTGCAACCTCAGAAAGGCCAAATGAGAAAAACCAAGCGGTTTGGGAGAACGGACAGTACACAGAGCACACGGATTGTGCAGCAGAAGGATGGCTTAGACCCCCATGGAGTACTAGATAGGGAAGACAACACCAGGTACAGCACAGCAGGACACAGTACATTGACAATAAACCACAATGAAACACACAAAGTAACAACTAAAGTTATATAACAAGTATAGCTAGCAAAGTACAATTGTAAAAGTAGCATACCATGTAGAAACAGAGATATCAGTGGTCCCAACAGAGAATATACCATGAGACCAGAGTGCTATAATTAACTGATTGAGCAGCAAAGACCGATGAAGTTGATGCCTTGGTCCTGCCTTTTATAAGATTGGAATTATTCTGATTCGTTGACCTGTTACTATGTGAATGTAGTAGTTCTGTTATAACATGTTTTTCTATTGAGCTTTTTCTTTGCTGCTAAGAGAAACAAAGAAAGAGTGCAGCCTCCGTGTCTTTAATAAAATTGAGAACTATACAGTTGAGCCATACTTCCACATTATATGACTAAACATATATAGCAACCCCACAATTTTCCAGTAACAATATACAATGTTTGTCTGACTTCCTAGTCAACCTCTCTCATGATTAAATAGACAGCTTGGCATTTGATCCATACAGTTATTATACCTTTAGCTAACATTACAACAATTTTAGGCTTGACCAAGAGGCACTGAAAATGTTAAATAATTATATATGCCAATTATTTGACTTATTGTTGTTTGAATGTTGTACATTGTACATAGGTTACCACAAACATTGTTTTACTAATTTAGCTTACCCTTCTTCCATCAGTGCTATATAGCTTGACGATTGGACATTGCAAGGCCTCTGATATCTCCTCTAGAAAGGCGTCAAAACTTTGCATAGACTTCTGGTTAAAGATGACATTGTATTTAAATTCTGTGTCACCATTTTTGAAAATCACAAGTTTCTTTGAATTCCCGATCACTATGGTGTTTTCTCTCTGAAAAGGTACTACCTCATTATGCTGAGCCAATTGCACAGCACGTCGCCGGGCACTCATTGGTCTGCTGCTCTTCCAGAGTAGGGGCTTCTTGCTTGCCCTTTCAAGGTTTATGGGTTTTATCTTTCTTTGGTGGGAGCATATGTAGGATCTGCCATCTTCTAGTTCCTCTAGATTGGTTATATGGTGCATTCCACGTGGAGTTGTAATATTCCTAACTCCGAAAGGCAATGGGACTTTTTTGGACAAGCTGTCTAGCAAGGCATCAAATGTTTTAATGGAACGATTGGTGACAACCATCTTTATTCCATTAAAACGTGGATCTCCACTTTTGTAGAAGTACAGCCTTTTGGTGGAACCAGGCTTTGACATGTTTGATTGTCGCATAGAACCAGTTTGCCCACTGTCCGTGGAATTGGCTTGAGCCACTGAGATATTGGTGGATGTAGTGTCGCTCATTGTTGATAGTAATCTAGGAACAAAGAAATAATATGTAACAAATTTTGGCAGTTAAAAACTTGTTTTTTAGGTCATTTTTCTGACCTTAGTTATATTGTGCATACATGTCTAGCGAGATATTAATTTTGCATCATTGACAAAGCATTTTAAAGACTGAATCATTCATTTTCTTTATCTCTTATGCAGAGACCATTTGCCAGGCACTTCAGTTTTGGAATGTTTTTGCATAAGGACTGGCTTGATATGCTAATAATCCGTTCATTATTACACAGATGAGGTAAACTCATATATGTGGTAATTTCCCTAAGGGCAGTAACTACAGAGGGCTTATTTATTAAATTACAAATAGTGTGGAATTGACAGTGGAAATATACATTTAAAGAAAATAGCTGAATCAGAAAACATCATTCAACCTATAATTTCATTTTCTCTAAACAATTCTTTAGAATTCTCAAATGAGTGACTTAATCTCTTTCAGTTTTGTTCATAATAATAACATGCACTGCCCAATATATAGTCAGCAAAATAGATAAAAAAAATATTAATATTAAATAATAACCAAGTCTTGTTGAGGCTATGCAATACCCATGTCAGAAATGGAGATAATCCTATTTTCTTGAATGCCCATTTCTTTGTAGAGTACATCCAAAATTTTCCTTTCCCTTCTTTTACTTTTGATCTCCTCTTGCATATCGTTCTGCCTTCCTGCCATTGCCTCCAGGGTATCTTCACATTTCTTCACAGTGTTGTTTAAACGGGCAGCTGTTAATGGTTCTGCATGGGTCACTGTTCTGCTTTTTCAAACTCATGAATTCTTTGCTATTCGACGCAACTACTTTATGCTTTTAACGTATGTACAGTCTGAGAGTTAGAATTGACAATGACTATATCTCATATTGTATCCATAGAAACTGATAAGTTACAACATTACAACCATCAGACTCACCCCTAGTCTTCAATTTTTTTTAGAAGTGCCTTAAAATCTATTTCTTCAGGAACTTTTGTGGCATCCCATAGTAACTTCTACCTCACATGCCTGTCCCTTCCTCTCTCCTAAAGGGTAGCACTCTACTCTCTCCTCCAGCTCTGCTTCACTCCCGCCCTTTTTGATTGCTATCTCCTGTCCTATTATACCCCACCTCCTATTGACAATAAGCTCATTTGAGTAGGGTCCTCTTCAATCTATCATTCCTGTAATGTTTTTGTAATTGTCTTATTTATTGTTAAATCTCCCACTTTTATAAAATTGTGAAGCTTTTCGGAATCTGTTGGCACTATATAAATGTCAATAATAATAATTAAAACCATCTGCCTAATATCAAGCAGCCCCCCCGTGTGCCACCAAAACAGCTCTGATGCATTGAAGCATGGACTCCACAAGACCTCTGAAAGAGTCCTGTGGCATAAGGCAATGTATAAGACATTGGCAGTAGATCCCTCAAGTCCTGCAAGGGGCAATATGGGTGCTCCATGGATCAGATATGTTGTTCCAGCACATCCCACAGAGGCTCAATCAGATTTAGATCTGGGGTATTTGGAGACGAAGGCAGCACCTTGAACTCTGTGATTGGACCAGACATGCTAGCCTTCACTCCCAACATGCATCAATGAATCTTGATGTTGGTTCATCAGTTGTCTTTCCTTTCACCACTTTTGGTAGGTACTTATCACTGCATACCAGAAAGACCTGACAAGACTTGACGTTTTAGAGATTCTTTGACCCAGTTGTCTAGTCATCACTCTATGGCCCTGGACACTCAGATCTTTTTGCTTGCCTTTTTGTTTCTGCTTCAACAATTCTAGAACTAACTGTTCACTTGCTGCCTAAAATATCCCACCACTGGACAGGTGCAATTTAAAACGATATAATCAATCTTATTCACTACACCTGTCAGTGGTTTTGATTGTGCGGCTGATCGGTGTATTTCCTAGATATGAAGATTTCTGGTACATTTACAGTAAGAAACAGTCTACCAGAAATGTATATATTTATTTGTAAAGTTCAAACAATCTCTTTTTTATTTTAAAGTCAGTGTGTCTATATTATAAATAAATAAAATAAATCCTTTTTTATAAAAAAATGCTTTAAAAACAAAAAGCAATTATACTTAGTTGTAATTTAGCGCAGGGACAACCTCATCTTGACAGCTGCCCCACCCTTAATCAGATTATCATGAATGATGAACTCTGTCCAATGCAATAGTTTTCATAGAGAAGCTTTAGGTACTAACAGCACACGTGCAAAAATACTGTGCTTCGACAATCTGGTGCTTCTTAAATAGATGCAATCAATCCTACAATTCTCTATGAGAAGCTCTAGTGGACTTTGGTGTCAACATGCTGTGCATGATGACATCAAACATGAAGACCTTCAAGAAAAAAAAGGTGCAAATTGTGGTTGTCAATATGACATCCACTAGAGGTATGCTCTTAGCCAGATTTAAAACATGGTAATTTCTTAGAAATGGCAACACTTTACATTTTCTGAAAAAAGGGAGAGCATTTCTGCTAAGAGTGTCTCTTTATTTGTCTTAATATTTTTAGGTTTTCAGCTGGTGGGCATAAGAATGTTGTTACACAAAGGATGAAAAACTGAACTGTGCATAGAGGTAAAATATATCCATCTGTCATCTACTATTTTATACATTATATGAGAATGTAGTGTAAGATTTAATTATATTACAAATAAACTACAAGTCCCATATTTAATAGTCACATAATAGTACTGCACAACGGTTTGCTCATCAATAGAACATAAGCGTAGACACTTAGAAGATGCCACATATATGATTCGTTATTTTTGGTAGATAAAACATGCAACAGGAGTCAACAAAAATGATAACCCATTCAAACAACTATGACGAGGACACAAGAGGAAGATGACGTAACCAGTTATGAGTTTTATCATCTCTGGTGCTCATATAAATTAAATTATATAATTAGTTGTTATTATTGTTAACAGTGTGTCCAGGATTGTATCTAATAATTATATAATAAACAAGATCAGGAAAAGCTGAGACAAACATTAATCGGAGACAGGAAATATCGCTATTTGTATATTTTAATTAATTGCCTCTAATAAGTGCTCGAATATATTCAGTGTAATGTTCATTTTACCCTTTCTCATAAATCTAATTAAACAGAAACCACATAATTATTTTATTTTATTTTAGCTAATACTCCTTATATTGTTTTATCTATATTTAACCCCTTAAGGACACATGACATGTGTGACATGTTATGATTCCCTTTTATTCCAGAAGTTTGGTCCTTAAGGGGTTAAAAGACATTTGCTTGCATTTAAACAATAAAACATTTGTTTCTTACAGAGAAGTAACTAACAGAAACAGAGACACGTTGCTAGCTAGTCACTCACTTTAAATATTTTAGATGTTCAGCAAATCTGTATTTCTCACAAAGGAAACACTAAGTGCTGAATAAAATCATGTAATTTTACAACATTACATTTTCTATAAGTAGTGCATTGAGAAAATGCTGTGTACTTACCAAACGTTTAACCTGCCATACATCAATATCTGTAAAATAGAGTCAGTCACTTGAAAGGCTGGTATCTGTGCTGTAAACAGCTCCAGAAATAAATCCTATGAGGCCACTTGCTTCTCTAGACATCAGTATCAATTTGTTTAATACGGTCTCAGAGCTAATCACTGCCCTGGAGACAAATTAGAGCATCTCAGAACACACCAGCCATTCATATCCTTTACTGTTTGTATACCCTCTTCTGCTTGATTGTCAATTGAAGAAATATCATAAGAATGAGATAGAACATACGCTCAGGAAAGGTCTAGGTAAACCTGAATATTTAAGAATACGTGTGGAATAGAATGTAATATTTTTATCGGGGTCTATATGAATAGTAATGTTGAGGCTTCTTTTCATTTAGGCAGACTTTTGGTATTATATTTACTTAGCCCTATAGTTAACAAATATGTATTTTTGAGGTGTAGTAATAAAAATTGAATGTAGAAAACCACACTTCCTGAGGCTGCAACTGGATTCCTCCATCTTCGCTCGCTGTCAATCATTATTATAAACTATGAGGTTTTCACCTGGCAGTCAGCAAACAAAGAAAGTGAGAAATGAAACAATCGTTCTACTTCTTTTCCTTTGCAGTGTTTGCCCGGCTCTGCCAGGACTGTTAGTGTTTGTTTAGAAAAATAAAAAATAAATAAAATGTCTCGATTTCACCCTTTCACTGCTGATCACAGTGATAATACAGTGATCAGAGTGAGCAGTACACTAGGACTGCTTTTATTTTTTTTTATTTTTTTTTGCAGGGGTCCGATTTTTAAAAATTAGGCCCTTAATTAATAATTCGTCAAAAACATTTTCAGAAAATGACACCCCTGACCAAAAATCTGCACAGACGAGTCCCTATTGAAACAGTAATAATAGGCTGCCATACTGTTTCAAAGGCAACATAGGCCTAGAAAACTAATTTTACAAATTTCAATGTGTAATAACTGAATGGGTAAGCCCTGTACATGGAAGGTACTGTTGTACTCATGAGACATCGCTGAACACAAATAGGTGTGTTTTATTGCAGTGATAGCTCACAGTGTTATGACATTCACAGTTAAAATACCATGCAGAACCATGCTGTATTTGTGTGCTTGTGTGAGGGGATCCGTGTGTGTGAGGGGTGCTGTGTGTGTGTGAGAGGTGCTGTGTGTGTGAGGGGGTGCAGTGTGTGTGTGTTAGGGTGTGCAGTGTGTGTTTGATGGGTTCTGTGTGTGAGGGGGGTTCTGTGTGTTTGTGTGTGTGTGTGTGTTTGTGTGAGGGGCTCTGTGTGTGGGATGCAGTGTGTTTGTTTGAAGGGTTCTGTGTGTTTGTGTGAGGGGTGCTGTGTGTGTGAGAGGTGCTGTTTGTATGTGCGAGGGGGTGCAGTGTGCTTGTGTGAGGGGTTTGGTGTGTGTGTGTGTGTGTGAGGGGTGCTGTGTGTGTGAGGGGGTGCAGTGTGTGTGTGTGATGGGTTCTTTGTGTGTGTGTGAGGGGTGCTGTGTGTGTGTTTGTGTGAGGAGTTCTGTGTGTGTGTTGGGTGCATTGTGCTTGTGAGAGGGGTTCTGTGTGTGTGAGGATGCTGTGTATTTGTGTGAGGGGTGCTGTGTGTGTGTGTGAGGGGTACTGTGTGTTTGTGTGAGGGGTGCTGTGTGTGTGTGTGTGTGTGTGTGAGGGGGTGCAGTGTGTTTGTGTGAGGAGGTGTTGTGTATTTGTGTGAGGAGGTGTAGTGTTTGTGTCGGGGGTTCTGTGTGTGTGTGAGGGGTGCAGTGTGTTTGTGTGAGAGGGTGTAGTGTGTGTCAGGGGTCTATATTGTGGTGGGGAATCATGGAGAAAATCTATATATATTTTTTTTTTTACTTAAAAAGAGAAAAGAAAACTTTATGTACTCCCCCCTCTTTACCTCTGGCCTTGAAGGAGGGAACATATCACTGCAAGCCTTGGTGGTCCAGTGGCTTTGCATGCACCTTAACCTGTAGCTCCTTCAGCTGCAGGCTGGCTTCACTCTTTTCTTTCCGCGAGAATAGCGCTGTCGGAGCATTGCCATGGACTTGCCTGCTCACGGAAGGATCACAGCCTCCCAGGTTCTCCTCCTATCCAGCAGGCTCCCGGGTCCCAGCTCCCTCCCGCTCCATTAACAAACTGCCAGGAGGTGGTGAGGGAGATCTTTGATTTCCTCACCGGCCTGAAAAAAGCCAACAGAACGCAGGGCTGGCTCTCCACAGAGAGAAACAAATGATTTTGCGGGCCCGTGGGCTGGACGTTCCCCACCCCTGCTTTAAAGGAATGCTCCAGATGCCATAACCAATTCAGTTCACTAGAGTGTTTACGGAGGAAGCAGTGCCGGGGTGACTCCCTATTGTAAGTAGTCAAAAAGTTTTAGAGCCTCTCCCCTCCTCCACTAATAGCAATGGAAAGCTGAAACTTCCCAAGTAGGAGTTTTTATTAGCTCTGTAGAGCTAAGCCGTGTCGGGCTAGTTCTTTGTTGAAGAACATCAGCTGATCACTTTCTCGGATACTATAGGCACCAAAACAACTTCAGCTTAATGAAGCAGTTATATTGTATAGATCATGTCCCTGCAGTCTTACTTTTCCATTCTCTGTCATTTTGGAGTTAAATAACTCTAATGTTTAAATTTCCTTTAATACATTGTCTGTTTAATTTAGAATGTATCGCCTACTCTGTTAATAGTATGCTAGACCCAACAGGGGCCTTTTGTGTGTGAGTAAAGATTAATTTACAGAATTATGAGCAGTGAGACTGCATGGGCATGATCTATACATGAAAACTGCAACATTAAACTAAACTAAAGTTCTATTGATGTCTGTAGTATCCCTTTAAGGCCAAAGTAACCATACTGGAAGCATAGTTGTCAAGGTGATTTTTTTTCCCAGTTTGACAATTTCGATTTGAAATGTGAAATTCACTTGCTGGTTTAGCTTTAAATATTCTATGTTTCACTGTTTTGGAAAGATAAAAACAAAGCATATGTTAAAATAGTTGGTTATCCTATTCTACTAATAGCCTCCCTGGTGATAATATAGCATATTGCCTGCAGAAAACCTCATGGTTTTCCATATATTCCCTAAGTGGGACTGACCCCCAAGAATTGATTTGGTTTCTATCGATGAGAGCGATGCTGCCCATGAGAGATCCTGTCGGTGAGAATTAGCAATACAGGTGCAAACATAGATAACAAGGTAATATATCAGTCATATTACTATTCAATATTAGTAAACAGATCACTTTATTATTGTAAAAATATTTCTAAATGTAGGTTAAAAACTGTTTTTTGCAAACAATATAACAAATGCTGTTTGTGTAGTTTAATCTGTACAGTTCTTTATTCACATATGCTGCCCTTTATTATTGCCAGACCTATAATAAGATTTCTAGCGTCTTTACTTAATCCTGATTAAAGAAGATTTAATTGCTGTGTGGCATAGTTACGCATTAACCCCATGTTACACATATTTGTCTCTTAGGCAGTTTGCAATGAATACTTCAAGTCTTGTTTCATGATGTTACAATTCAATGTGATAATGAACTGTATGAATCAGTACTGAGTCCGCAACAACAAAACTCACATTAGCCAGAGGCAACTTTGAGAGTGTTAGACTAGCAGATATAAGAGATTTTAAAGCAGAATAAATTATTGCTGTATTACATTAAAAGCTCACTTATTAAAAACCTTTTGGAGTTAAATAAGCTTGTGGTTATGGTGTTTGTTGCGCACCTTTTAATTCAGTAAAATCATGTATTGGTTTGCACAATCCTTGCTAATAATTATGAACATTTGCCGAAAGAAAATATACTTATTCCCAAACGGTGACAGACCATATATCATTCAGCTTTTGACAAACAATATTGTTTCCCATAAATAATTGCCAAGTATGAATAGTCATTCAGTTATCTATCAGTGATGGGGTAAGATATTTGATTCAGTGAGTCGCCTTTTATAAAAAAAAAAAAATGCATTGGTATCCCTATATTCATTACTATATAACCAGTGTTCCATTTCAACACAGTCAAACTGACTGCCTTTACACATAGTCTGTGAGAACAGAACAAACTATTACTCCTCATAACTGAATATTAAGCCGTCTGTTTATGCATGTGCCCCATGAACCTGTACTATATATCTTTCTAGCAAGCCATAGTTATCCTTTCTCTCTCACATGGAGAACTCAGCCTGTCATCATGAAGAGGTCATTGGGAGACAATGCAAAGAAAACAGGATTGTTTACCACACATCTCCAGCAATAAGTGAAGTGGATATCACGTATCCAGAACTCAATGTCTAAAATCCAAGGGATTCTAGGGGACCAATAACTAATGATTTCGGTATGAAACAACTTGGCCCCAAATTATTTACTGAACACATACACATATATGAAAGCTAAATCCCATCAAGCATGAATTCTTATCAGAGTGTCAGGACAGGGGCGGATCCAGAACCAAATCTCGGGAGGTGCACTGGTGGTGGGATGTAGCGGAAGGACAGGGGGCTGTAGCAGGGGGACAGAGGACTCTAGTGTAGGGGTTTAGGGGCTGTAGTGGGGGATTTGGGTTCATCTCTAATTAGATGAAATTACATTCACAGACACATACACTGTATCTGTGTGTGTGTGTGTGTGTGTGTGTGTATGCCAAACATGAACCTACACAGGCACACACATACCTACACATACGCACAAAGGCACACACAGGTACACATACACACACACATTTACAATACACACACCAACACACATACCTTTACATACACGCATTGTCACATACACACACACACACATATCTACACATAACACACCAGCACATGCACAAAGACACACACACATACCTACACACACACACACACTGGCACACACAGATCCACACTGGCACACACACACAGATGCACAGATAGACACACAGTTTACACACTGGTACAGTTTACACACAGATACACACACACACACAGAAATACACTGACACTCACAATTACACACAGATACACATACCTACACATACACACACTGGCAGTAGTCACTTCCTCCTTGCACTCTCTGTTTGGGAG